AATTGTTTACCTTTCAGTGTGCATCATTTCATATCACGTTTCTCATATCACAAGACCCATGCCACAATTGTCAGGAAAGTTTTTTTTTATGCTTAAAACAAATAAAGATAAAATGTTATTTTATAATCTAGTGTCCCAGTGATGCATTATAGAGTTTATAGCATTTCTAATTGCAATATATAATTGGATTCCAAAACAGTAATGTACTAGCACATTAAAATGCTTTTTCTGAATGCTTTCACTGCAATGTGCTCAACCTTAAATACAGCAGCACACATTTTCCCTTTCGACAGTGAATGATTGCGATGTACACATGAAGAGTTTTTAAATATTCTGCGTGTGGGAGGCTTGTGAAACCTACTGAGGAGGTGAACGGTGCCGAGCTTGTATCTACATGCATTTCTGTTTCAGTTGTGAAGGTGAAGAAGATTGTAGTTTTCCCAGTACATATCAGTCAAGGTATTTAGAATCACACTTTCCTTTAAGCTCTGTGGTTTTCACAATGACCTGTGTTGACAGAGTGTATAAGGATGGTAAGTTGAACAATCCCAGGACTTGGTTGTTTGTGAAACATGACTCCTTCTTTAGAGAAGACACACCTGCATGGTGGCTACACTCCCAACGAGACTACAAAGGTTAGAATCCAACGGACATGATGAAGCCGTGATGAAAAAGCTAGATTTCTGACATTCGTACACTTTGTATAAAATCAGATTCAGTGTTCGGATTCAGAAGTAAAGAACACCATGGAAGATGAGCTACATATGCATTGCTGGATGCACAAATACATTTAAAACCAAGAACAGGAGCACTTCTTAACAAAGAGCTGCCCAGCCATGCTGTTGAAGTACTTCTTTCAGGAAACTGCTGGATGAGATCCGTGGGTGAATTCGCTTACCGTGATTAATTACTGTGGGTCAGTTACTAAATGGGCTTGATGGGTTGAATTGCCTATTTTTGTTTTTCAAATTTATTATGTTCTCGTCATTTGTTTTACATGTTCTTTACATGTTGTAGTAAAATCATGTCAAAGCAGGGATTTCAGCTGGAGTTGATTTAAGTGCATAAATGTTAAGTTAAGAGTGTTAAGGGCTTGATGGTTTGGTGAATTGACTAAGTGTTGTAGTAGACACAGCAGCAAGCTTTCGTAATAATAAACACCCCATTCAGGACAGTCACATGAGGGAGGCATTATATTTCTCATATTTAGTTGATCTATTTTCTTGCATTTTGAATTAAGTGCATGGTCCGTATAAACTTACAATTTGTATAATGAAATGACATAATACAGCAGTTTCATACAGCTTTTAGAAGGAATTTTAGAAGGCCCTGTAGCCTGCAAGACCCCCCCTTTTGCATTATGATCCTTTATTGCTGTTACAGTCATGACTTTCAAGTCTCACCTTTATGCATCAAACCACCGGCAAGCTCACCCCAGGGTACAACAGGTAGATCAACAGCAGCACCTGGAAACTTTTACAGGCCTTCCTGCTGGTGCTGGAGGTGGGGAGGGGTGGAGTGCGCCCTCCAGAGGCTGTCTGTCAGGATAGTCCCCCTGTCCACACTGGGGTTGTGTGGCGGTGGTGGACGTGTGTGGCCAGACTGTGGCTGACTGTGGCTGACCTCTTCATATTGGGCCCTGTGGTGCTCTCCGAGTCCTGATGCAGTGGCCACTGCCTGACCCCAGCTGCCCTCTGCACTTTCCCAGCCCTGGCTCTGCTGCAGCACCGCCTTCTGGAGGAGAGGGAGAGGGATCTCCCTTTTCAGGTGCTCCACTGGCCAGGGAGGTGCTCGGCGTTCCTCCCCCACTGTGAGGGCCTGAGGATAATTAACAGGTGCAGTGACCAGCAACCTTCTGAGCACCTGGGGTTTGTTGACACCAACCAGCTCAGAGGCAGAGTGGGTAGTGGAGCTGCGTAGTGCGATTGGGTCCAGTTTAATATACCCTTCAACAGTGGGCAGTACAAGGCTCTCCCCATTGGTGATGACTGCATCCCTTCCAGTTGGCAAACACCTAGTATTTCCTTGGCCCTTCAGCAGTCACCTCTCCGGCTCATGGCGAGAGAGGTAGACCATGCAAGCCATGCCAGCCAAAGAAGAATTTACTGGAGCTAGAAGTCAGCCACCCTAAAGTGACAGCACAGTTTGCCCCCTTAAGCTCTGCTGTCTGAACCAAACGAGTGCACTCGTGCGTTCATCCAGCACCACGCCCTCTCCAGTACTTCGGAAAGAGATCACGGAGCGATTCTCCGGTAGATTGAACCTCACAGAAGAGATCTGGCAGGAGCAGACAAGTCGAGACCAGGCAGCGCACCAACTTTCGCGATATCCAAGAGCTTGTTGCTGAAGGATGGTGCCAGGGTTGGTGTGGGCGCGGGCCAGAAATGTGTGTTGCATCCTGGGAGGTGCAAGCCCTGCCAAGATGGAGTGTACGGGCCATTAATGTGAGCAGCTCAAGGTGTCACAACTCGCCTGCCACCCCCAGCTTCTGGGTATGAAGACCAGCTGTTCAGAAGACGAGCAAAGAGAGCAATGTCCAGTTGGGGGCTGTTGGGTTTTGACCGCCTCTTGAGTGGATACGCGTTTTTATTCAATGAACTGGTGACGGCCCTTTTTAAAATAACTTCGAATTCCTCCAGCACACAAGCCTGTTTGAAACCGTGGCCTTGCAGTCCTGAACAGTTTTGCTCGGAGCGAAATGAACGCATCTCAGAGTGTGAAGGAAGCTGTGTGCGATAGATCTGTGTCCCTGCTTGCGTGGAGACGTTCTTAGGAGGCCCCGGATCGCAGAAACATGATTTTGCCGTGTCAGAATGTCGCCAGTAATACTACTGTAGAGAGTCAGAAGGCAGTCTGATAAACAGCTCTGCTCGGCTGAGTTCCCGTCAGTATTTCTGGAAGTGTTTATGGAGTGAAATGCAAGGGAAATTAAAGTGTAAAACCTAGCTGTCTTCTGAAACATGCACTTTTAATCTGGACTTGCTGTTGTGCTGCATACTGGTATCATAAAATTGCAGTATTATTCTGTACCACAGCTACTGTACGCCATGACCACAAAACTCCACTGCACACAATACAGCATGTAGCTTGTAATTTTGTTGTATATATACAGTATCAAGACTCAGAGATGCATATGTATTAGATTTACACTGCTGACATTTTGAAGCTGAGTGTGCATTAGCACAGTTCATCCTAGTTTTGTATTTTGGTGTCAGTATTTGCTCTTTTCTCTTGCTTTTCAAAAGAAAAGCACTTACCTTAAAATCCTTTCGCTGCTCACTTCCACAAACAATACTGCACACCATACAGTGCCTGAACCGCATTCAGCAGGAGTAAATCAATAACTTGACAAAATTCGCCCTTGATCTCTTTTTATTCCTTTTCATGCCTTTTACTTATTTACTTTTGCTATCAAGCCTGCAGTACTTGAGGAATTGGCTCGGCAGAGGGGAAGTGGCGATGTGCCCGGCTCTCCTGCCTTTTTGCTGTTCAGCTTTGTTTTCTGTGCAAGTGCTTTAACAAATTGCACCACCCACTGCGGTGCCGTTCGGCAGGGCGGCTGATATCTCGCCTCTGGTGCTCCCGCTCCTCTCGGCTCTGGAGGCTGGCGCTCCGGGCGAGGACGGCTTCCCCGAGTCTCAAACTGGCAGAGCCCGGTCCTTGTGTGATCAGGAATTGGCCGGGGTGCCGTTGAGCCTGCCAAGCCTCTTTTCCAGAGGGCGGTTAATCGTGCCGTTCATCTGAGCTGCCGCCCTTTCCGTTCCGCACGCTGGCGCGAGCTTCTGGTCCGCAGCAGAGTGACCGCAGCCCCTTTCCTCAGGAGAGGCACTGCTTTCATCGCCGCACGTCCTGCCCGAGCTCCGGGGGCGAGGCCTGGGGGTCCAGGCAGCCTGAAAGCCCGGAGATCCTGCCCCCCCCGTTCACCGGTGGTGGGGCTGTTCCAGATTAAAGCGGTGTTGATGCTGCCACTGCTGCTTTCTTCTTCTGTGGCGTGAGTTAATTACAGCGCCCTGTCATGTGCTTTGCAGAGCGTGATAGGAAAGATCTTCTGTTAATGGTTACTGGCGGACCTTGCCCCGTACGCGCTGTGCTTTCGTGTGTGACACATCTTAGGCATGGTGGATGGTTTCTGGGATCAGAGCCAGAGGGCGTGTTAGGCTCCAGTTCAGTTTCAGTGCAGCGTCAGGTGGGCCGCCGTGATGGAGGAAAGCCGGAGTGTAGTGGCAGAGCATGTGCGGGCTGGAACGCGCTGCCCTACGGTGTAATAGAGTGCAGCGAGCGTGTCCGTCCAGCGCACATGCGGGTGAGGGAAAAACAAGCAGCATTGCGCTCTGGTTGCTTTGCCATTTGCCCTTATTTAACACCCCAGGAGAGTGCAAATTGGGCGGCCTTCCTGACTCCGCTGCACAGATTAGGTGTATCAGGAGGTGTTTCATCTGGTGTGGGCGCTTGTGATCAAAAATTCACAAGCCCGAGCCCGTCCCCAGCCTGCCGCCTTGAGTCGTTTATTTTCACTGCCCAAGCAAGATGCTCCGGTTCGAGACTGACGTCATGTGAGGCTCCTCGTAAGACGCACGCCTCCGAAATTAGGACCTGGGTTTGCCGAGCTGCTGGTGCTGAACATGACAAGGGAGCTTGGCCCTTAACACATTTCAGTAAACCAAGCCCAGTGTTTCGATGTGATTAAAGCGTAGCTTTGATACAGGTTATCCAACAGCAACTAAGACTGTTTGTGTGTGAAATTAATTTTATATAGATGATGAGTAGATGGCGAGGCTCTTAACGATACCCAATAGGATCCGTATTTCACGTGAATGTGATACAGGTTGAATAACATTAATCACAAGTCTTTTGTGTTTTACTGCCAGTCTTGCAGCAGTAGCTCAGAACAGATTTTTATCTTCAAAATTGTTTTCCATGTTCCTGTTGCTAGGAAAAACTGAAAAAAGTGTTAATGCAGATCTCAATTCAGCATTGTTCATTTGTCCCCTGCTCTTCAGGTGCAATCCTTGGCCGATCGGAGACACAGCAGTGCATTTACTACAACGCCAGCTGGGAGAAGGACAGGACGAATCGCAGTGGCATCGAGCCCTGTTACGGGGAGAAAGATAAAAGGCGACACTGTTTTGCAACTTGGAAGAACATCTCTGGATCTATTGAAATTGTCAAGCAAGGCTGCTGGCTTGACGACATCAACTGTTACGACAGGTTAAAAAGATGTTTCTTTTCCTTTTGTACTTTGTGTTGTTTTAATTATGGTGTCCAGCATATAGACCTAAACTCGTGCAGATTCTGTATTCTCCTGTGAGCTCTTTTCATTACGGGCCAGGTGGTTAGACTGAATTTTAGCGGTGTCAGAATGAGGTTTTATTTTTGCTGTGAAATCCAAGTGTTATATGCACAGTTAGGTTCTTTGGTGGTTTACTGTAAGTGTTATTGTTTTTAATTTGTTTTGCTTGTCTTTAGTTATTGCACTAAGCACTCAGGCTTAAATGTTACTTTACAAGCTTCTTGAAGCCTTCAATTGCAAATGAATGGCTGGTGCAAATGGCCAGGCGCTCGGAGAAACAAAGTGTGTTCAGCAGAAAGAGCTGATAGATCACATCACAGGGGCAAGGTCAGCGGCTGACCTGTGATCTCGTGTTCCACTGCATTTTCAAACGAATGTTTTCGTCACCGATTTTACACCATGGTACTGTGGTGTCTGCACAGCTAGCCAGCTCTGTGCATAGAATAAGCAGTGTAACTGAGAAAAAGACCCTGGTCTTTTTGTCCTGCAGTGTTTCCACCAGAAACTGACAGACTAACAAATTCCTCTTAATCATGCAGACACAGCTTACTTTGTTGTGTTGTTATCATTTAACAGACAAGTGGTATTTGTGCAGCAGAACTTCTGAGGAGATGATCCATTTTGAATTTGAAATGAAAAGCGGGGAACTAAATCGGAGATACAGTATAAATAGTTTAGTCATCTAGGAAGAGCTGGGTGCTAAAATGAATTCCTGTGGTTCATCTTACAGTTTAAACAAAATCATACTAAATAAAAAATATATAAACTATGTTCACCTTACGTGTCTCAACTTGTCAAAGTCTGATTACTTCCTCTGCTGAAAAATGTGTCAACATCCCTAAATGAAGTCCAAGTTTTTTTTTGCTCTTAACTAAACATATACTGTATAAATCATCATGTTTTCCCTTTCAAGAACAAGCTTATTGAATAACCAGCATACACCAGTGTTACTTAGCCTTGCTAAAGCTTATTACACAGATTTAATATCTGCTGTGAAATTGCTTCCATTGTATGATTTTGGCCCACTTCAGCACACTGGCTGTGAATATTGAATTATTTTGATAATATGCTAACATATTTCATTTTCCTGATTGTTGTTCTGGGTGGCATTCGGACGTTCAGGTCTGGACGGCTGTTTTACTGCCTGGAAGGCAGTGCTCAGGGGAGTGTGCAGGTGAAGCACGTTCTCGGAGATGAAAATGCCGACTTGTCACGCAGTTGCCTGTTCTTGACTCCTTGCAGAAATGACTGCGTGGAGAAGAAGGAAAGTCCAGATGTCTTCTTCTGCTGCTGTGAAGGCGACATGTGTAACGAAAAGTTTTTTTACAACCCTGAAACGCTGGGAATACAACGTAAGTTGTGTTGTCAACTCTGAAATGTCTCGGTATAAAACGAAGGGTTACTGTGTCACTCTGTTTTGTTTCATTGTTTCTTTCTCCAGTGAAAGATCCATTTTCATTTTGTTTTACCATCAGTCAACGAGATCTGCACCATTCGCTGTCACGATAAAGCCCAACCATCCCAGCCACAAACTCTTCTCCCCCCTGCGCTCTGGCCAGCAGTACTGCACTATTATCAAGGACCACTCGACGCAAGAACAGTTCAACCTCACTGCAGTACACGTCTTCAACAGCCTCAGACTCAGTACACATCTGCACACTGCGTTTTTTGCATGGACTACCATGGTTTTTTTCTCACTACTGCATATTTACTGCCCCACGACATATTTCTTGTTCTGGTTGTGTTGTTTATGTCGTAATGTACTGTCTAGATTGCGTGATGTTGTCTGTTGTACTGTGTTTGTCCAGAGATATTGGCACAACTAAGAATTCCAGTGTACATGTACATGTGGCAATAAACTCCTCTACTACTCCACTACTCCTGCTGGCAAAGCATGGAGGTTTAATGACTTGGATAAATGGTAAAGCTAAACCAGCCTGTTTTACTGACACCTAATTTGAGGTATTTTAGACAAAATGAGTCATGTCATAAAAGTTGCTGAAGGAGCTGTATTATATTTGTAAAGAACATCAACTATTTAACTTTTCTCTGGTCTGTTGTCTGTGCGTTTTTGTAGGTGTATTGTGTGGTAATTTGATTATAAAACTTTTTTTCTTTACTGCCGCTAAAAAAAGAAACATTTGCATAATGTTAAAATTCTAAAATAGTTGCGGGACTTGCAGATTTAGTCACCAAGATACTTTTGTAATATTTTAAACAGCTGATCCGGAATAGTTAATGAACACAGTTACGTTTGTAACAGATGTATTTCTAGGATCAGAACTGTTAGAATGGAGGAATTAGAACATGAGAATAATTACAGACTATGGAGGGTCTTTCAACCCGTCTTAGAGTTGCTGGTGGATAGTGGATCTGAGAATCCCATCCAGCTGTTCTTGAAAGCAGCCACAGTAGGAGCTTCGACAGTATGGATAGGGAGCTGTATCCCAGTGTGTCCTGTTCTCTGTTTCAGACACACTTCCCCATAGTTTCCAAACGCGCTCTCTGCCTCGTGTTTCCCTGATGGTGCTGAAGCAGTGTGCCGAGTTGACTTTGTGCTTACTGACGATTTTGAATGAGGGTTGCTCGGATCAGGTTCCTTCATGGGTTTTTTCGAGACCTGTGTGTAACTTTTCTTCACAGCAGCCTCGGTGTTTGCTAATCCACCTAGTCAGATATCATCTGCAAACTTTGACCAGTTTACTAACTAGTGATTCACCACTTCTGTGAATTCTCATCTCCTTGCTGCAGTACGACTGTAACAACATTTTGTTGTTATTATTTTTAAGGTTAATTAAACTTCGATGTGGAGTGGACTCGTGAAGGGTCACGGCTTGATAGTGAATTTTTAATGCCTTCTATGAGGCTGTATGGGGTTGGAGGTTTGAATAGAAAGTTGTAGAAAGCAGTCTGCAGTTCAGTCTTTTCTGTGCTTAACTTTCTGAATGCACTCTCGTAGCCGTAATCTTTTTTTTTACAACGATTTGTCTGCTGTGGTAAGGGAGTAGTTTCAAGATGACGTTAGCCATCTCTGTTCCCTTACTACTGCCTTTGAACAGGTGGCTGGAAAACGAAAACTTATTCATTTTAATATAAATCTTACTACCACCTATTTAAAATAAATTTCAGCGAGCAATGAGCCGATTTCATTAAAAGTCCGTTTGTAGCTCGAGGGAAACGCACCCCCCCGCCCGATTAAAAAGTTTGAAAACTCTGTCATGCTCCTGCTTCTACTTGCAACACTGGCGCTGAGGAAGAGAAGCGAGCCTAGAAGAGGGAGCGACTCCCGTCTGTAAAACGAGCTTTCAGTGCGCTGCGCTGTTGGCGCACCCCGGAGGTGGCGTTCGCATTTCTGACTTCAGACGTGGCGTGCCTTAAAGACTCGCGCACCTGCGGGACAAACCTGCGGGGGAGGTATGGACTGATGCACCGGCGGCCTGCTGGATCTGTGCTTCTTGTGCGGCTCGGCGTCGGGGTTGTGGTTGTGGTTCGGGTAGCCATGGCGACTTGCGGTGGTCTTCGGGCTGCCTTTCCTGGCCTGCTGCCACCTTAGACAGCGGTTCTGGGAAGTGCTAGCCGCAGAATCGTCAGGGCAGTTATTTTTTTTGGGGGGAATCACATGGCTAAGTTGTTTCAGCTGTCGATTAAACAACAGCTACCTTGTAAAGGAAAGGTCTTAATTGGATGTGTGGCCATAATTGCTAAGTATGGTTAACGATGATAAAAAGCTGTCTCCATGCCAATTAGAGAGCTTCATTATACAGAAATTGTTTACTTTGTTTTTATTTTGAATCCTAAAACACCTGTCCTACATTCTGACAGCCTGTTTTTCACTCCAGCGGTATATTTTTTTTCTGTTGTTTAATTAAACTGGTGCAAAGGTGGCAAGAAAAAAAAACAGCTGCCATTGAAGTGTTTAGAATTCATGCCTTGTTGAGGATGAGCTGGCAGGGAGATTGTCCCCAGAGAAGCACACAAGGTGTGATGCGAGAAGGTTATTAATCCGGCTCGAAACTCAGAGCTGAATAAATCTGTAGAAATGAGTCACTGAGTTTTAAAAGGGGGAAAAATTGCATGAAGATTAACCAATTTTAAAATGATTGCTTTATGACCTTGTGACGAATACGACACAAGTCTGTGTCAAGTTGCATTTAATTCTGATCTGGGGCAGTTTAACCCTTGCCTGCCTGTAGCACGTGGTGCCCTGGGCTTGACTCCAGGGATTTGCGTGTTGCTGGCCTGCAGGACTAATCCGAAAGACCTGACCCGCGTTATCCCTGCAGATCTGGTGGAGCAGGCACGTGTGTGAGAGACAAAGCTGTTCTAAAAGTGCAGCAGTCATGTGCAAGATCTCAGGGAAGAGGGGGAAGAGACAGAGAGAGAGAGAACTGTTTTGGGGACAGAATGTGTGGTGACACAGTTGTGCTTGAGGTTTACATTTAAGAACAAAATGCTGGAGCTGAAGTCATGCTGGCTGGCTGGAACAGTCTGAAAACCACACCTGTCCTGTCAGCGCGGCGTACGTGATAATGATATTGTACTGCGCCTTGTGACTGATTCTCAGTGAAATTAAAATAAGCACCCTGCTGTACAATGCGCACGTGGGTGGAGAGAAAAGTGAAGTTCACTTGTGAGGTTTGTTGTCACACTACGCAGGTGTGATCCTGTGTGCCACAGTTCCTCTTTTTAATCTTCTGCCCCATGAGCCTTTCCAAGGCTTGATAAGGCCATCCTTGTGTCTGTATCTTACCTGTTCCGTACTGAGTTGCTGTCTTTCAGGTGCATTTACAGTGATTGTGTTCTTTAAAACAAAATGACCTTTTTGTAATTTATGGTTGAAACCACATTAGTCATTATCCATCACATTGTCTCCCATGGAGTAGGAATAGCTCCAAGATTAAATTCACCTCTCTGTTCACTTCTTTATTTACTGACCTTGAATAGATTGTCACTTTTATATAAATATGCATTTATAATGCATATATAAATATGCCCTCTGTATAAGTTGCATGCATTTCCCAGAGAAAATAATTGATTTAATGAATACTGAAGAAGGCTCTTTAGAAACTAGCATTTTTGTTAAAGTAGTATTAGTTGTTTAATACAGGCTGTCTAAATTTAACTAATTGGATCTGGAACTCTTCCTATAGTAGCAGTGATGAATGGTTTCCTACTGTCATACTTATGTTTGCCTGGATAAACCACAGGACCACAGACTTGTTTACAGGATGCCAAAGAAAGTGATTTAGTTTTGTCCCATTCTACAAACATACGGGCAGCAAGCAAATTTGCTTTCTATTCAAAAGCCAAGCAATTATTCTAACACTGAATGGAAAGGCTGTAGGGGATTTTCTGTTTTATATAGTTAAACTGAAATATTTTTTACTTGCACTGTATTGTGACATTGGTCTCAATTTAGAGGTGGTCTAAATTGCACTTCAGGAAATGATTTTATGGTACTGGTAAATATGATCAGATCAGAATAGCATATGCTTCAGCACGTTGCAGGAGGGCATGTTCTGCCAGGACATCCTGGTGCTGACTTGGCTTTATTCCAGAGCACAGCGAATGTGAAAACACAGAATCAGTCATTTAACGGCCTGTTTACAGTTCCAGTTAGGAGGGGCAGAGAAAGAAAATCCTCACAATGCAAACGGATTCACAAACCCGGCTGGGCCTCTTAGCATAATACATGAGCTGGCAACTGCTGATGTTTTAGGGTTTTTTAAAACCTGTGTTTTAAAACCCGCGTAGCTTTGGATCTAAAATAATTGTTGTTGGTTTTTTTTAATTTTAGTGTTGCCTCTAGCCGTGATTAATTTGACTTTGCTCCTGGTTTCGTTTCTAGCAACCTCCAATCCCGTGACACCAAAGCCCCTGCTGTTCAACACTCTGCTGTACTCCCTGGTGCCCATCGTGGGAATCGCTGCTATCGTCCTTTTCTCCTTCTGGATGTACCGGCATCACAAGCTGGCCTATCCCCCAGTCCTGGTGCCCACTCAGGTCAGTGACTGTCCTCCTTCTCCTGCTCCTCCTCTTGCTCCTCCTTCTCCTCCTCCTCTCCTTGCTCCTCCTCCTCCTTCTCCTCCTTCTGCTCCTCTTCCTTCTCCTCCTGCTCCTCCTTCTCCTCCTCCTCCTCCTCATTCTCCTCCTCCTGCTCCTCCTGCTGCTCCTGCTTCTCCTCCTTCTCCTTCTCCTCTGTCACTTCAGCAGGCACCCTAGCCAGACCTGTGACCAAGGAATGTGTGCTGCAGGAGGTGCCATCTTGTGGCTAAAATGTATTTTATCTGTTTGGTCATCGAAGATCCCAGGGACACTGTTCTTAAGAGTGTCCTAGCTCATCTCCACTCCAAAGTTCCTCTTCTCTTGCGTGGGTGATGTAACTCCTCATTTCTGCCCCCGAACAGCTGTGTAGTGGGGCTGCTCTTAATGGGGGATGAGTGAGGGGTGGAGTGGCTCTCCTCCTGCAGGTCTTCTGGGCTTAAGTATTTGGGGAGGAGTGGTGTTGGTCAGGAGTGTTCTCCAGGCCCACACTGAAACATCGAGTATCTTCAAGAAGGCACACTTGAAAAAAAAACTTGCTGTTTTTTCTGCAGTTGCTCTGGCAATTAAGGAACGATTTCAGACAGATTTCCTCTTTGCTTCTCCTAATTTTATTTGAGTAGTTTTCAGATCATATACATTGGCAGTGCAGTTTAATTATGGACTGCTGATCAGTATATTCACTTCATTTGGGCAATATAAGGCCATTAGGTCTTGAGTTCAACAGGGCCCTGCATTCAACACAGTGAATTCACAGCTTGCTTGGTATGAGATGCACTCAGGATTTTAGAATTGACAGTTTAAATTTTGAAATGAACCTTCTGTACACATTCGTAATTCTTCTTTCAGAAGCTTATTTTTAACAATCGCTGAAATACTGAAAGTTTTTTTTGTGGCTGTCAGTAATAGCACAGATCAAATGTGTCATTGCTGTGTCACACTTAAAATCTGACTAGAACCAGGTACAGAGGAAGGTTTTATTACCATCACATGAAGGAACGTTTTCTTTTTTTGGCACGTTTAGTCACGGAAAGAATAGAAAACATTTCCAGAATTGCTTCCTGAAGCGCACTAGACAACTGGGTGTGTGTCTTCAACCCACAAAACAGACAAAAGACGTTTACATGTTTAAATGGTATGAAGGCCAAAGCAATAATTCGCAGAAAAAAAATATTTCAATTCTGTGTTTTTATTTTTTTGTAATTCAATTTATCTTCTGGTCGGCGATCATTTTTAAAATGTAGTGCCTCACAAAGAAACAGTAGCTACAGTTCAATTCAGAATAGTTACGGGTGCGTTTCTAAAGGGTGTGTGCCTAGTTAAAGAAAAACTCTATTATGTGCTGTGGGAACAGGCTGTCACTAATGCTGTGAAATATGTAGGTTGTTCTGACATATTTATTAGCTCCAGGCAGAATGGAGGTTGCAGAATCATATACAAAGGAGCTGTTTGTTGGCTTCGGTTTACTGAACAGGACCGAGGGCCTCTCAGAAGCTGGCTGTGTGTGAACAGTGCTCGGACACGGCCGTCTTCAATTTGAAGGGGGCCTTGGGATCTTGCAGGCTTGTCGTGATCTTCGATCTGTGCACATTGTTTGTATTTCCCATTTTATACACCAGAGTTAAGTTTTCATTCAGTGGGATGATGGTGAAAAGGTTGCGACCATTAGCTAGAGCACAGTGCCTGTGGTGAGAAATTCCCATGCCCTTTTTAACTCAAAAATAAACAGTGGAAACCAGTTATTGTTCCATAGTGTGATGATGTTCATTCACTACGTCACGTGAGGGTGTAACAGCTTTTGCATTCCATATTTCTTTCCCATAGACAATGGTCAGGAGCTTTCTTTCTTAATCATGTGTAATGTTGTTGGAAGGTGTCTGTTGTCGTTGCTTTGCTTTTCAGAGCCTGTCAGATTTTTCACTGTCATTGTTCTCTTTTGAGAGCAGTTTCATTTTTATTTCCTTGTTTCATGACAGGAGCCTTGAGTCCACCTAAAGTATATTATTGTGTAACTTCTCAGCTCAAATCCATCAATCTGATGAGAGGTTGTAAAATAATGATAATTGTCCCCCATGCTCTGAGCTCCAGTCTCTTGACGGTTTTTCTTTAGTAGTGTGCACTATTATGGATCGTCAGTCTCACATCGCCAGCTTTGTTACACTCAGCATGTGGAGGGCAGAGACTGCGACAGATGAAAGACCTTCCTCAAATTGTGATCATATTTGTAACTAAAGTATGTAAACAGTATCCAAATTCAGTAAGCGCACCTTGATCGCCTAAATTCTCCCAGCTGTTATGGCTGCAGTATTTTAATTTGTCCTTTTCTATTGTCGTTGTTACAGTTTGTTTCATTTCTTAAGAGTGTACTAGTTTGTTTAAAGCTAATTTGACAGGGATGTTTCTTATTATATTATTGAAAACCATTTAATTGTGGCATGTAGTAGGTTGAATTTTATCAATTGAATTGATATAAATTGAATTAATTGAATAAAATTGAATTCTATCTATTTAACCAGTTTATTACAACCAGGGTGTAATAATTGGTTTTGTCCTTTGTCTTAAATTATTTAATTAATTTGCAATTAAATAAAACTTTAAAGAGATGTCATTGTGCTAAATATTACTTGATATCTTACTTTTAAAAAATTGTTGTGGATGGACAGTTCCAATTTTAGTACTAAAACTGACACTGTATGTACACTCAAAAATTCTACAGCTTTCTAAATACCTACTGAATTCTGAAAAAGGAGTACAGTAATTATCTGTAAGGCTAATTGCCATTTAAAGAGTCATTATCCAATTTTAACAACAATGGAGCCAAGCCAATGTTTTATTGTTAAAACAAGATTAAAAGTCATTGTCTTGTTATTTGGAAAGCTGTCTGTTTTGAACTACTAAAAAAATAAATATATAGTTTTGTAGTTTATCGCATGACTTTTAGAATGCTATGACAAACTTTTTTTGCAACAAAACGAAATGCTTGAATTAGGGCTCTTTATACATAGCAAAGAAAAACCATCTTTGTATGAACTTTGCTGATGCTATCCTGATTATGTCATCAAACAGAAACATCTTTTTGTAGGGCATAAGATTGTTTTGTCATGTGTAGAACCATTTTTGAGTTTTCATACCTGCACTTGAAATATCAAAGACAGTTTTCTGAGTGTAGATTGTGCAGTTTCTCCACACCATTAATGAGAAATGGAACACCAGATAATGACCGATTGGGAATGGGATGAGTGTTTTTTTATTTTATGATATACCAGTGCCCCCTGTTGACAGATTCCTTTTTACAATCCAAAAATATGGCCTCCAGCTCTAGAGCGAAGCCGGGCCTGCGAGGACTGCTTATGTTTCATTTCAGTGGGGAAAGACACTGAATGTTTGTTCCAGGTTGCTCGTACAATTACTGCCGTGCACTGCGAGGCTTCAGGAGCAGACAAGATTGGCTCACAACACTCCCTGAATTCAAACCCGCTTTCACATGACCTGGTGATCTCCCTGTCACTTATCTCAGCCCCGGTGTGTGAGTTATCCTTCTCTGTTGATGTTCCAGAGGCTGGGGGCTGTGACTCCTGGCACCAGGAATAGTGCAGGGGTGTGGTGGGTGGATTGATAGGGAGGAGTTCAAACGTTTTGCTGCCGGTAAATAGTAGTACGTAATAGATTAATGTATGTAGTGCTGTAATTTATCTAGGAATAGGGACCTGAAACAAAAGGAATATCATGCGTTGTTGTGCAAAGGTAACAAATATAGTTTAAAAAAACACCATGTTGACTCTTATGGAGGTCATATTTCAGGATTCAGTAAGGTCAGCATGCCAACAAATGCCCTCGAGGGACGAGAAAAAAACACTAAGGCTGCCTGTAACTGTTCCCCTGTGTCACTTGAGCACACAGGTCTGCTACACCTTCTCCGAGACTCTTTAAGATCACTTTATTGGCCATTTTCAATATCTTGCATTAGGAATTTATCTTTTCTCATACTCCAACTTGCTCTCCATGAGACACACAGACAGGGAGAGAAGCTTGGGGTCAGAGCGCAGGGTCAGCCATTTATACGGCGCCCCTGGAGCAGCTGGGGTTAAGGGCCTTGCTCACGGCCCAACGGAGTAGGATTCCTCTGCCAGTCGCAGGATACGAACCGGCAACCTTCCAGCCGCAGGCGCAGATCCTGAGCCACAGCGCCGCCCCACAGTCCCCCCTCTTTGAGGATAGGAGTCTCGGCGATGCCACTCTTTGTATAGTGTTTTCATTTTCTGAAATAGATTTTGATAGACTTCCAAGTCTTTTAACCCACAAGCCCCAAAATCCTTCTATTCATCTTTCTGTGTCTGTGGAAGGAATTTTTGATAAACTTATACTGGTTTAAGTTTTCACTTTTGCAGCTACAGAAAGACAAGGGCTTGGACTCAAAATATCAATGATTAATCAATAATGCATTTTCTCGCGGAGCAGAGGAGCTGCTGGCCCAAACAGACGATTTCTGACCTCGGATGCTTTCCCAACATTTGATTATAATTACAGCGTCTTGTCCAGTTTGTGCTGGGTGTGTGCGTGTGGAATTGCAAGTACCTCCTCTGGGAGTGTTTTTATCACTGAGTTCTGCTTTCATTCATCTTCAAGGAAATTTAAAATGCAAATATCAAATTCAGTCAGTAAGACAAGAAGCATGCCACTATTTGTGGTTTCCTTCTCAGGGTGAGCTCTAGCTGTTTCATTTTTTAATGGAAATCTCGTATAGCTCTTCTGAACACTAACACCTACAGAGATTGTGGTGGTCGTTTTTATCATTTCATCGAAGTTGGCGCCTCAGGTGGTGAGGTCCTGAAGGGGCCGGTGAGTGATTGTGTGTGTTGAGGAGCGCTGGGGGAAGCAGGGAAGCCGTTCGCAGTGTGAGCAGGTCAGCTGCTCGCATTGCAGCTGGTCCGCGGCTGTCCCAGCCCGAACTGGGAGAGAAGCTGCACGGAATGACTCGCCGAGCATAACTTGTTCGCATGCGACTGCAAGGGCTGGCACGCTGTCGAGCAACGGCGAGCTTTGTTTGGTCTGTTTATTCATCGCTGGGAACTTGTGAATTGAAACAGCACATAACTCCTGTGTTTTTGTAACGATTGTGTCCTGCAGTAACCACGTGTTTAGTGAACCCGGTCAAATGACAGAGGAGCCTAAGCATTGCCTTGGGTGACTAGGACAGTGCCGATCTGTGGATGGTACTGCACCTGCTGCGGTTGGTAAGCAGCAGGGCTCGGGCGGCTGTGGTTTATCAACATTAATCATTTGCAGATGAGTGGTGCCGAGGCAACTAACGCCCATGCTACGAATGTCCCGTTCTTCAGGACATTACCTGAGGCAGGGCTCTGCTCATGGGCAAAGCAGCTGGCTCCCAGCACTGGAGCAGCATGAGACGACCATGAGGGTCTGTGTTTAAACCAGAGTGAGGCGGAGCGTGTGCGCTTGTATGAAGGAGGCTGACACAAGCGCTTATGTTTTTAACACAGTTACACTCATTCTGGCTGATGCTGTATGTATTTCACAGGTGACACAATACCAGCCCATACAGTGTGCTTGTGCTGCGTTATCACACAATACGGTAGACCTCTGATAAATGTGAAATGTGTTGTTCAAGTTGTGTTATGCCTCATAACCTCACTGACGTCTACAGCGTGTGAGCCTGCAAGTTATTTTTGGTCAAATTAAAAATGCCAGGTTCTGTTGGAACACAGTGGAATGAAAGCAGCAGAAGTTTATACCTTTTGTTCCTTGCCGCTTTTGTAGCTGTAGTGATAAAGAGCCAGGATGAATGGCTTCACTCCAGAAGAAGATTAAAACACTTAATTCTCCATCGTTCATGCAGTCCTGTGTGTCACTCCTAACAGTGCTCCTGTTCCCTCTGCATCGTGTTCAGCTGTTTTCCCTGTGCATCGACAATGAGGCTGAGACATTTGTCATCCCACTTCAATTTTTCATCCGCTAAACTGAGGTCGGAGAGTTGGAATTGATTCGGTCGGAGACTATTTCCGGCTGCTTCTTCCAGATCTGAGGAGGGGAAAAAAACACCACTTCCCCAACTCGATCATCAATCATCCTCTGAAACCTCTTTATCTGCCTTCACTTCATCCTCGCTGGAAACAGTAATTTCTTTTGCCTCTTTTCTTTCCTTCACAAGCACGCCTTTCATATAATGATAGAGGTAAGATAAGTTTAATTAACTCATAAACTTTTCGGTGGGTTTGGAAAGACTGATAACCTGGCCGTTCCATTTCCTTTGTTTCATTTCTTTTTGTATGGACATGCCTCTTTATACATTTTGACATTTTTTATTATTATTTTCACATTTTGAAACTCAAAAAGGTTTCATTTCCAGTTCTTTTTTGTTTCTTGCATGATTCCTTTCTGCCCCCTCGTATAATGTGGACTGCAGAACACGGGGGGATATGAAACCACTTGCATGCGCCGAGGAAAAATTGCCTGGGATACGTGTCCTTCCAGCATGGTTTCTACCTGTCTGTCCTGTTCTGCATTGCAATACTTTCTGTTTCTAGGCTTAAGTGAATTGTGAAAATTAAGTTTTCTTTATTGCACACATATGCAAGATCTTTGTATCCCCCGTTTGTGTGATGACCCCATCCTATACATGTGTAGATTATGAACTGGTTAGATGAATATGCCAAAAGTGCAGGTGAACCAGGATCACCTGAGTTGGCTAAGCTGAGTAATAATGTAATATATAAAATCCAGTTCCCTTGCCTTATATCCTTGTGTATGGTTTTTGGTGTATTTGAGTTCTGTAAAGTGATTTAAAAATAAAATATTAACTTTTAAATTAGGGTTTTGTTGGATATAAACTGTGGATGTAAAAAACAATGAGAAGCACTGTGCTGCTGCTTAATGAGGCCTGATCGATGTTGTTCTCTTAACCAATTCACCAGTGTTCACCGGTGAATGGTGTGTATAAATGATTTAATGAATTACTGGGAACCTTGAGGAGCCATCTTGAAGTGTGTGGGCCAACAGTGCTGGCCGTTCTCAGAGCTCCGAGTGTGGCTCTGCGTGATGAAAGAGCGTGGCGCTTGTGATTCCAGGCAGTGTGTCAACTCCTGGGAAGTGGTGAGGTTCAGGACTGTGTTTTCCGCAGATCTTCCTGAAGGTGCAGCTGGCTTTGGTCATTTGGGGAACGAGAGTGTTTGGCGGTCGAAAATGGAAACAGAACCATTTACAGGAATCCCTTAGACATGGATCACAGGACTTTGTGCAATGTGATCAGTTGTCATATGAAATGTCACGTGGACTATTGTAAATCCAGTTCTTTTTTTATTTTTTACATTTACAGGTGAGATGTCTTTCCCCTGAAGTTAACACATACAATAGCAGCTGTGCACGGAGCTAGACCTCCTGTTAGAGGATTCTGTTTTTGAGAACGTGGTTGATGGGAGGACGATTATGTTCTTGTGCAGTCTTTACAGTATTTTCGTTTGAAATGCATAATACCTAGGAACGTTTTCTAGCTTTCCGCAAAAGCTTTCTGTTGAGTTACCTTTGGTTTATTTTTTCTTTTCATTTAAACTGCAACAAAACACATGTATGCATGCTTGTGCTTTCGTGACCTTTGCACTGACCCCCGACCTGACCTTTTTTTTGTACACGTAAGGCTGTTTGTGCCCTGATTGCTGCAGAATGTCATAGTCCTTGCAAAACGTGCTGTGGTTTTATTTTTATAACAGGCTTAATGAGAACACAAGACAAATCTGTTGTATACCTAGTATAAGCCAGACTATAATCCTCCATACAGTATATTATTGTGTGAGTGTTTTTCCTAATAGCAGTCTCCAGTGCAGGGGATCATTACAGAGCCCTTCTGAGAATCCACGTGCGAGCGATTACTTTAATCCGGGGCAGTGGCCCACTTTACCCACTTATTTTTGGAACGCGCTCTCGGCCTCCGAGCTGATCTGAGCTCCCGCTCGCAGCTTCTCGGCCGTGTCTGCAGCTTTCACTCTTACTCCACTCCTTCGGCCGGTTCTACCCATTCTACCTTTGAGCCGATAATTCAGCGACAGGAGGCTGTGTCCTGGGGCCGGTTGTCCGGTTGTGTTCGGGGGAGGCGCCCTCGGTCTTAAACCAGACACTGAACCGCGGGGGGCGCAGCCCGGTGAACTCCACCCCTCAGTGGAGCACTGAACCACCTGCAGACGCCAGCTGGCTGGTGCTCAGTGGGCTCGAATGCTACAGTCCAGTGCTCAGTACTTTGCAGTACGGTGCTATTTGCGGAAGTAACATGTGAGCCGCACCTGTGTGGAAGCCCATGCTTTTTAGAGGACTTGGTGTCCTTCCCTTGCCCAGGTGTTTCCAGGTTTATACCGATAGCTCAGGATATAATATACAAATTCGACAAACTGATCTCACACCTGCAGCGTACTGTATTGACCACTGCAGTAACACCTGCATGAAAAGCAGAAAGACTAGGGTTTCGAGAGCAGTGATTGACACACAGCCCCCCTGAAACTCTCACGCCTCCTTTAAGGCCGGCCTGGTTTTCAGGGATCACACAGAGGACTGGGATTCGTGGGGCGGCAGGGGAGAAGGGGTTCAGTGTCTCCCTGCGATTCTGGCGGAGCCCTTCATTGCCCGACGCTGGCTGTGTGAAAATCACGTGCAGCAGTCGGAGTGTGCGCTCTCCTGGTCTTCCTCTCTCTGTGTTTGCCACCCTGTCCCGTTGCCTCTGTGCTCCCGGGGTCCGTGAGAGCGTGTTTACACATAGTTACAGATTTAAAATTGTCTGCAGCCCATCAGGGTGGTGGTTTAGTGACTCTGCTGTAGCAGCGAGTCTGTGCTGCACCTTCCATTTGAGTGAAAAGAGACACGTTAGGTTCATATCGCTTGCGGCATCCCGATGCGACTCCACCTGCGACAGGGGTGTAGTGCATTTCAGTAACAAACCTCCCTTTTGTTCGACGGTGATTCCTTTAAATGCTCAGTGTTGTGAAGTGCAGACAGACTTGGAAAAGGGCAGTACCTCTCTGAACACGGACACTGAGACCGGCTTCAGTGCACAGCTGGGCCCAGGACTGAAAGCAGCACGCACCTCCTCACACACGGAGCCGCCAAAGGTCTAGGGTAGTTCATGCGCTCAACATGTCTCAAAGCCTGCTGCTGTCGTGTTCTTGAAGTGTCTTCCGTGTTCAGGTAAAATCATTGAAATGACGTTTGTATGTTCTAGGACCCGGGACCTCCACCCCCTTCTCCTATCCTCGGACAAAAGCCATTGCAGTTGCTGGAGATCAAGGCCAGGGGGCGATTTGGCTGCGTCTGGAAGGCTCAGCTGCTTAACGAATACGTGGCTGTGAAGATTTTCCCTCTGCAGGTACCCGTTGCGGGGTTTGTCGTGCTGGTTTTGCGTGGTCTCCTGAGCCCCAGGGCGCCCAGTTTGGTCTGGCTCTGCAGGCCTCAGAGCTGTGTGCCTCCCAGGTGGATGTCCGCCAGTGAGCAGGGTAGCTGTGCAGGTTATGATTCTTTCCATTGAAGTCAGAAGCACTTGGACATGCGATTGTGGTTGCAGCATGGTCTGCCGCCAAAAAAACACTGCTACCCTGTTTTAAAATACACTTCAGATTTCGAAATTTTGCGATTGAGTTCTGCAGGGAAGTAAATTAGTAATGTGGGGTTTTCTTTTGATGTCTCCCTGCTGTGTAATTTTCCATTAGAGTTAAGAAACAAGAGGGAATTTTTCACCAAAACGGATGTGTGACAAATATGATGATAATTAAACAAATGTCAAAACATAGGCTGGGTAAATGCTTTGAATTTAAGCACTGCAGAAATGTCCTTATCTCCTTCCCCCAGAAAGAACTGTTGTGTGTTTAATCTGTTGCTCTCTCGGAGTTGTGGTCCTTATGTCAACACAAGAACACAGGCGCTCCTTCCTGCTGCTGCCGGCGCCGGTCAGCGGTGGTGAGAAATTGCCTCGTTTCTGAATGCTCTGTCTCGTGTGGCTGCAGGACAAGCAGTCGTGGCAGAATGAGTACGAAATCTACAGCCTGAGTGGAATGAAACACGAGAATATCCTGCAGTTTTTCGGTGCAGAAAAGCGAGGGACTAACATTGACGTGGAGCTCTGGTTGATCACGGCGTTTCATGAGAAGGTACAGTACATGCGGTTTGCGTTTTCATCTCCCGCTGGTACAAAAACAGAACCCACTCCCAGGAGGCCTCGGGACTCAACATGTTGGTAACGGGCAGGCTGTTCTTCACCAGAGTTTGGCTGACAGGGAAAAGCACACAGAGCATGTAAAGGTCTTCCCTTGTAGTGTTATTCAAGAGCACTTGCAAGGTTAATCTGCCCCCTGGTGTTTAAAAAGAGCAGTTATAGGATTAGAGTCTTGTTTGACATGGCGCTCTGCTGAAGAATTAGGCACACTGACAAAATGCCCTAGATATTCTCTGTCATATGTCATATAGCCAAATTGAAGCAAAATGAGTTCTCAATACAGAATTTGTTTTTTCTTTACCCCTTTTCAGGGCTCATTGACTGATTATCTGAAGGCAAATGTCGTTTCTTGGAACGAGCTGTGTCACATTTCTCAGACCATGGCAAGGGGCCTGGCCTACTTACACGAAGACATCCCAGGCCTTAAAGAGGGACACAAGCCAGCCATCGCCCACAGGTTTGTCACATTCACCCTCCTGCCATGCTGGCAGACAGCAGCCTGCTCCCTGGCCCTCTCCTCCGCTTGTAGTACAGCGCGGGGGATTAGGAGCTTGCTGAGAAATCAGTGCTAGCAAAGGCAGTTACAGCCCGGGTTCGATGGCAGTGCCTTTTCAGCATCGCTATTTCTTTCACATAAGCCATGTATGAGGGCATCCTTGAGGTATTACTGATATTCTACCACACAATCTAGGTGTAAATCCCAGTGCACTGGGAATGTCAGCAAGGACAGTAAACATCCCCATCCTGCCACACTCGCTGGCTGAGGGCTCGCGCCCCTTCAGCACAGACGGTCACAGTGAGGCTGCTCTGGGCACTCCCGCCTGGCCTGTCTGTGAGTTGCACACGGCTCTGGCACAGCTGTATTTGACTAATGAAGGTAATGGCCAGGACCAGGAGTGCTAAGTCAGGTACTACTGTACATCTGTTTTTATCACAGTGCAGCTTATCACCTGGGAGATGTATTTACCTTAAGAGCTAATCTGCTTTCCAGCAGCTAGTGTCAGCTGACACTGCAGTTCATTAATATAAATAAATCATGGTACGTTTTCTGTTTCACCTCACTGAGTCTAAATGTGCAGGTCAAGAATACACCATCAGCTGAACAAGAAAGCGGGCTATTACATTTTATAGCCTTTTCCTCAGAGCGTCGATGTTTACATTTTTTTCTTTATTTCTGTCTCTTCTGCTTGTGAAAACAGGGACATTAAAAGCAAAAACGTGTTGTTGAAGAACAACCTCACAGCGTGCATCGCTGACTTCGGTCTGGCTCTGAAATTTGAAGCTGGGAAGTCTGCAGGAGACACGCATGGTCAGGTGAGCAGCTCTGACAAACACAGCAGCTCTGTAACAGATGGCACAGATGCCCGGATTTGGGGGTACAGAATAAAGAAACAAGGATCCTGTTGTCTAATTACTAGGCCCCCTGCAAATTAGTGTGGGAAGGAGAATTGAATGTTGTATCACAAAGACTTTGAAACACCAAACAGCTAGACTATAGCAGAACAGTATTGTCAGTCAATCTGTTTAGTTTTAGAAATTACTTCAAAGGCAAGGGATTTCTGAGCTGAGAACCCGGAGAGCTACAAACACATTGAAGAGCTCAGCAAAAAGTCTTCACCAGCCATTTCCTGGAAGAGGCCAGAGCATCGGCTAGGCAGCCGGTTCCACACTCCCACCACTCTTGATGTAGATGCCCGCTGTTGTTGACCAAGCTTGGATGTTCTCCTGCGTTGCTCTCCCAGCCGTGTGCCCTGTTTTCCAGGTTGGGACCCGGAGGTACATGGCCCCGGAAGTCCTGGAAGGCGCCATAAACTTCCAGCGAGACGCGTTCCTGCGGATAGACATGTACGCGATGGGCCTGGTGCTGTGGGAGCTGGCCTCTCGGTGCACAGCGGCGGACGGTCAGTGCGGAACGACTTCTGCGCCTCTGTACTGCACACGTGGCCCAGGATGGGGCAGAGAATGAGTGTTGTGTGCCTGACGAACACGTTTCTCTGCCGACAGGGGGACATGAACGAATGCATATATTAGCAGCTCCTTAAAGATCTTCAACAAATCGAGCGATTTGTTGTTGAGTGTTGTGGCATTGTACTGTTGCTGTATTGTATTATTGTCGTGTAAGTTGTATGTTCATGAGCTCTTGATGTGCCAGACGAATTCCCCTGGGGGTTAATTCAAATTCAGTTCTATTCAGCTCTTGAAAGAATGGCGAGGAATGTTTCAGTCGCATTTAGGAAAAGCAATGCTCCCACTTTGGTGTTTTGGTTGAATAATGCCACATTCCAAATGCAGAGTCACAGTTCCTTTAGTACTGCTAATGCAGTGTTATGTAAAGTTTATTTTCTTCCTGCTGTCAGAATGGCTTGGCAGCTGTAGGATTCCTGAAGCAGAAACCTAGCAGCCACATCAATCTTTTTTTTTTCCGTGCTGTTCGGCCCTCAGGTCCAGTTGACGAATATATGTTACCCTTTGAAGAGGAGGTTGGCCAGCATCCATCCCTGGAAGACATGCAGGAGGTGGTGGTTCATAAGAAGATGAGGCCTGTGCTGAGAGAGTGCTGGCAGAAACACGCGGTCAGTGAGCCTCCTCATCGCAGCAGTCATTGGATTAGAGCCGTGTTAGAATTCGGTTTTCATTGCTCAGATTGGCAGTAAATGCATTTTCACTTAATCGATTCAATTAATTTATTGTTTCCTAAAAAGTTACAATATACCTGTGTTCTGTTGAAGAATATTTGGTAAGCAAAACAACTAGCGAAGCACTTTCAGTTAATTTAAGAATTCAGTGTGTTTAATTAACGCTGTGATTAATTTTCATGTTCGAGCTCTCGCCCCTCTCGCCCCTCTCGGCTCGGACCCGAGCTCGGGCCTGGCTCTGCAGCAGCAGCCTCGGTGTAACAGGCCTCAGCAAGCAGGGATGCGACACTGAGGAATGTTCACTGCTGAGTGCCGTCTTTAAGACACGGGCCTCCCGATGTCAGGGAGATGTACAGTCAGTGGTTACTTCCTTTAAAAGGACAGACATTTGGAGACATGTGGGCTGTTGGAGTTGAGTCCAGTTGCAAGAGTTTTGTTTTAATGACATGCACCCGTTTCACCATTCCTAATTTAAATGTCCCAAACTGTGTATTGATTTGTCCTGCTGTTACTGTGCCGTAAGCGTAGCTCTGAAAACTATACTTTCCGGAGAAGCACAGGTGTGTCACAGAGCGGGCATCTCGACAGTGACGGTGTGTGTTTCTCCTGCAGGGTCTGGCCATGCTGTGCGAGACCATAGAGGAGTGCTGGGATCATGAAGCAGAAGCCAGGCTGTCCGCTGGCTGCGTGGAGCAACGGATTATTGAAATGCAAAGACTGATGAACATCATTACGCCAGAGGAAATTGTTACTGTGGTCACCATGGTGACAAACGTAGACTTTCCACCGAAAGAATCAAGTCTATGATGGCTGCATTGGTCAAACAATGTGTGCAGAACACATCAACACAAACACAACGACCAATCAGACTCAACTCCAGAGCTGCTAAAATAACTCATCTGGTTACCATTTAGACTCAATATTGTGTTCTCATGTACAGAACAGTACAGCAGCCAACGCAGACAGGAAAATCAGGAATTGAAGAACGGGGACTGTTTTCTACCAACAACATTTAGTTACATGTGTGCCTGAAGACTTGCATCTGTCTCTTGTAAGTGATGAAAAACGCAGAATCAAAATCAGGATCATTCAAATTTGAGAAGAGGTAGAAAATGTCATCATCTGCTTGGCAAAGGACATTGTAATTTAAACTGACTTTTGGCAGGTATCTTTCTTTTTTATCTTGGGTAAAAAGACTTCCTCAAACGGACAACTGCTAGTTTTTTAAGAAACGAAAGACTATACAAAACCCAACACAGTTCATTTCATTTCAGTATAAAAAAGGGCAACTTGTTTTTAATGCATTTGCTGTTTTGTGTTTATATAAATGACTATTGTAATGCCAATATGAAACAGCTTGTGAATGTTTAGTGTACTGCTGCTGTACGTATATCAACAAAATGGTGATCAAGGTTATTTGGTGGGATTTGCTTCCAAGCATTATTTTAAATAACCATAAACCTCCCTCAACAAGGTATACCTCAGTTCCGCATTTGACAAGTAACGATTTCTTGAACGCTAAAACAGTCGAAGTGTTGGACGCTCTCTGGCGGTTTTTATGCATTTGACAAGAAAAGGCAACAGCATGTGATGGAAGATGCCAACAGACGAATGGCCATTCATGCAGCACCGATCCTCGGCCTCCTTTCGGGCTTTTAGATTGTGGTGTATTTCGCCCTGCTGTTTCTCTTTTGTTTTGAGCATTGGAGCTGTTTATTTTCAGCAAAACCTTACCGTTCCTGTAAAAAAAAGAATAAAAAAATACAGTACTCCCCAAGTTTTAAGTTAAAAAACCCTTCAGCAGCACTTCCCTGTTTAGGCTTGCTGTGTCTATGGAGGTTGTCAAGATGTGCGCACGCCTTCTTAGTTTTCCCCTTCCACCCCGTGTGAGCTGTGACACTGGTGTTCCTACCTGAACCTAGTTTTGCTAAATGTCTTTCCTTTCTTTCTGTTGGTCTGTCTCTCTTTCTGCGCCTGTTCCTGGAAGTACAGTTAACAGTCTGCTGGTTTCACTGTATTAAAATGCACCTCAGGAAGCTGTATTTCTCAAACCCCTCTCTCTGCTTTGAGCTGCAAGTGACTTTTTGTGACACTCGTTCTGGTGCCATTATTTAAAGTAAATATTCAACATCTGTGCTGGTAGCTATTCCCCTCCTGACAGGATATAAGCCACAAATTGAAAGAATGTTCTTTGTACTTGTTAATGGAACACAGTACATACAGAATATTACACCTATGTATGCATTGAAGGGTATTTTAGTACTTTAGTACTATGACTTTAAGGATCGGGTTTCTTAATGGAAAAATGATTTATAGGAATGCTATATATCCAATATAGTCATATATATATATGCAGATATATGCTATATATATTGTTTTTGAGCACTTAACATTTTCGATGACACTTGCAAAAATAATTGACTCTAATTTTGTATTTAAAGTGTATTTTTTATTTTCACAGATGTTCAATATTGCTTTTTTTAAAACAAAACATTCAGGGATACAATACTATGCTTTACTAAGTTAATTACAGTATATGCAATCAGTGCAGGTACAGCAGCTTACTGACAATGCCAGTGAGGCGACCTTTACAAAGTTGTAGCATTTTTAAAGAAACTTTCAAGTGCTGTTTTATTTATTGATGTACAATAAATTGCCATGCCTGAGGACCACAGGTCAGGAGCAGGTGCCACTTTTATTGTGTGGGAACACTAACTAACCCTTTACCTGTCTGAGAGCACCGGGGCTGGTGGGACAGGGCACCCAGCGAGCTGAGGTGGGCCGGGCCGGCCCGGGCCGCTGGATCGGAACAGTATTCGCGCAGAAACAAAGCTGACGAGGGAGGGGGCCACTGCCTGGTTCCGAGGAATATTTTCAGTACTGTGAATATTTTCGAACATTGGAACTTTGCAGCTCTCCGAGCGTTCGTTCGTTCCGATACTAAATTTGCCGAGCAAATGCATAACTTGCTGCAGCAATCTGCGAGAATGTCAGTAAAATCGTCACAGGTCTCCAAGCAGGGAGGGGTGGAAGGCACCATATGCAATTGCCTCTATCTGTATAACACCTGCCATGTGTTGGTCACCGTTTTGTCCTGGCGCTAACGATAATGATCAATGTAGCCATGTGGCTCGACCCTCTTCTGGGTCACCAGTACTTTCGGGTGTCATTTGTCTCCTGTTCCTTTAACTAGACACACAGGCCTGCAGGCGTCCTCACGGCTCCAGCTGCTGCCTGCCGCTTCTCTTCCCCCCTTCAGCGCTACAGCCCCGGGAGACGCGTGTTCCTCTGGGCGTCATGGGCGGGAGGGCGAGGTGGTCAAATCGCGGCTACATGTATCTCTTTCCCGCAGTCGCAAGCCCGGGCCTCGGCTGTAACCGCAGGGTTGGCAGAACTCCACACCAGAGCTGCGCATCGTGTAAATAGTTTCCGCTCGAATGTGATTTAGCATGGATTTACCCCCCCGAAGACGTCACAATGCAAAAAACACACCGTTTTCTTTTTATAAAGGTATCCGTTTCATAACAAAATGTAGCGTTTTTGATTTTGAGAACGTCACGTTTAGGCCCAAGTAACGTAACGTTTTTTTTCCTTTATATACATTTTTAATCTGTAAAAAAACGCCACAAATGACACCCTTGATCTTAACATTGTTTACCTCAAAGCTCTGACCAGCAGTGTTTTCTATGAAGCGGTTCAGTTCATGTGACACACATTACCTCTCAATATGCCAGAAAGCTAATATGTTGAGATGTGTTAGCTTTGTTTCCTGTATCTGCCGATGACCTCTGGGTCCGGGGCACAGATGACTGTACTACTGTAAAAGTGTACTTGCCATTTTTATTTTTTGCAAGTATTTAACAAAATTTCAGAGGCCTGGTTGGAAGTGATTGTTAAATATTGTACAGATAAAATGTATGCTATCCCCTCTACAATAAAGTATAGTGACTGCTCTGGCTTGTGTATATCTTACTGCTTTAGTGCCACCTACAGCTACCACTGTGTGAGCTGAAGTTGCCAGTCGTGGGGTTAGCAGCACTGCTTGTAGCAAATGTACTTTGACTTTCATGAATGTTACTGAAGTTAAAAATTGTAATCTTTTCATTACTTAACACTATACTGTTACCACGCAGAAAGAAAAAAAAAAACAGGAGTTAAGTGTTGTTTTTTTTTATAATCTTTGAGGAACTATATCTGTAATGAATCACATTGAGCATTGAAAATAAAGCTACTGTTGTGCACTTGTATTTCTATAGATGCAATGAAGTTACAAACATGCTCACGGTCGGAAATGAGTCTGCAAATCAAGACAGTATTTCTAAACTCAAATAACTTCATAATGGGTAATAGCCATGACGGGCAGTTCCTTACGGAGACGTTGAAGGTTTCAGGGGACTGTCTGCGAGAGTAGGGGTGTAGTTGGTGATGTAATCTCATCTGATCTGGTGTGCAGTGGGGCTGCCGCTGCCGCAGACAGGCTGGAGGATTGGTCCCTTCCAGTTCATACAGCACACCATAGCGATACACAGTAAATGCGATGGTTACGTTCCAGCCAAAGCACATCTCACAAGGACAGGAAAGAGATGAAGTGCAGAAAAAGAAACTGGAGGCAATATGATTTCTGCCACTGTTCTATCATCAGTCTCCCTTTATGTCTAATTCTGTAAACCTTAAATGCAAATTGTGCTGCCAGTTAGACTCGGCTGACCGGGAGTACCAGGTGAGAAACCGAGTTAACAGCACAGTGAGAGGAAGACCGCAGTAGCAGGCTGGAAGAAGGCCAGTCTGTTACAGCGCAAGGCTGCACTTCTCGGCTTTCAGCCGCACCAGGAGGTTCATGTCATTGCACTGCTGTCCTGGTCCACCTGCGGATTAGATGATGAACGATGAAGTTCAGTAACCGTGGTAATATAGGTACGAACCACACACTCTGCTTCCACAGGGCCAGGATCAGCTGTTCTTAACCATCTCACTCCACAGAGCTCAGCTTCCACACACTCTGCTTCCACAGGGCCAGGATCAGCTGTTCTTAACCATCTCACTCCACAGAGCTCAGCTTCCACGGCAGCCAAGGTGACTGAGAGAAAACCCTTTGAGAACCACCGTCATTCACATGAACATCTGAACAACAGTCAAAAAATGTTCAAACTAGCAATAATACCAAATGAAGTTGAGTATTTGACACTTGAGTGTTAAACAGAGGGTTACGGCCAAAGAGCGACCTTTACATTTGGAACGCTGTTTCAGTAGTCATTTTGCTGCTGTAACTCCGTGAGGAAAAAACAGTTACTATGCTGAGGAAAAGATGCTGTTCCAGCTTTTTTCTCGAGATTCGACAAGTACATTATAGGCTTGTGAAGAGGAACAGCTGAAGAGGACCTAAATTCCAAGAGTCAACATTTTGGGCAAAGGCTTTGTGTACTGGGCACATTTATCGGTTTTCAAAGATGTTTTTTTTACTTCTAGTGAAAGTTTTCCAAACCACTATTGAAATGGGACCAATGGACTTCGTAGTTCTTAGTTATTTTAGTTAACAGAGAAAACTGCCGCAAGCTTCTGGTGAAAACTAGGACTAGAGCAAGGAGGTTCTGGCAGGAGACATGCAGCGTTTTCAATCTGTAATTGGCTGCAGTCCTTATTTTAACAGAAAAATAAACATGAATAACAAAGATATTATGTTTTATTTCATATATAAAAAGTGAATATCAAAATGTAAGCCATATCGTTGGAAATTGATCTATAAAATGTAAGTAGCACATTTACACCTTCATGACACAGTTTCTGCTTGTTAGATGTCCATCTCTAATCCACATTTAAACCTCAAAACACCATGTAGAAACTTAATATCGACAGTGTTCAGTGGAAAGTCCATGCAGCAGTGGTGTCCTTCAGACCCTGTAACAGTCATCTTCCACATTCACGCAAAGGCAGATGTTGCCCATTGTTTGACATCTGTGGGGCATTGTGGGTACTTCTGGAGAGCTTCCATTATCTGACCGTTGTCCAGCATTAACCTGACAAGCTGGTATTCTTTCTGGGTCTTCACAGAGGGCCCATCCACTGCCTTTATCAGTTCCAGCTGATGTAAGTGCTCAAAAGCCTAAAATGCAAAATATTCTAAAATTATTTTTACTATTACCATAATACTGATTTTGTAATCAAAAACAAACATGTACACTGGCTTACAACTTTAAACTGCTGCTTTAAAAATGATTGAATTATCAACAGTAAAGATACATTCCACTAGATGGCAGCAACACGCAGCAACACACAGCTTCTCTTTGATATCTCTAAAGATTCAGGCAGAAAAACATCCAATTAATCAAATCAATCCTGTTGTCTACTGTTTGCAATCATTGACTTAACTGGTCAGCATGATTCCTGATTGACTGCTTTTTAAGGGTCACAGGGGTTTCTGGTTTCCTTCAGATCTGTATTCTCGTGCACTAATTACTTGATCAAATTGGCTCTTTTAAGATCTGGGGAATTAAACAGAACTAGAATCATCACAGTGGACCTGCAGGACTGGATGCAGCTCACATTACATAGTGCTGTTTAAAATTACAAGCTCGCAGTAACAAGCTCCTGACAAAATTATCAATGAAACACAGAAGCTAACCAATAAAAAAGTAAGTAGGGACAATGTCATCAGTAAACCATAGACTTTCTGAATTTTCATTCATCTTGAAGGGCGACTGGACACTGTTCTTACCTTCATTACAACAGGCTTTTCAAAGTTATGTATGGAATGCGATTTTCTTTGCAGAAATTTCTTGAATTCTGAAAGCAAAAAGATATAAAGATTCTGAGCAAACGAGAGCAGCGGACGTGCAGGTACAGCAAAGGAGCCCAACTCCAGTCTTCCAGGAAAAGAGTCCAGCAGGCTTTCTGCATAACTGGGCAGCAGCCGACAGCCCATGAGAAGTACTCAACTCCTCCAGTTAAACTGGTGACCCGTTCTGCTGGGTCAAGAGCAAAGGTGGAATAGACATGCGGCCCTCCGAGATCACTAAAGGGAATCGCCGGCACGCTCGCCCACAGTAAATCAAAGCCACTTATCACGGCGGCGTTCACCAACTCCCTGTGTCTTCGGATCGGACATGCACACCGGCAGAGGCCTGTGCCCTGCCCACAGCACAAGTGACCCCGTCTCCTGTTTCCGGCGAGAATTCTTCCCATCTGTCAAGAAGCGATTCACGTGACACCCCCCAGTGGCATGCCCTCCTCAGTCACTGACAATGCAGCATCAGTTAACATCATTCCCATTCTACAGCCCCCTGCAGAACCACACTTCACCTCGGCAACACAGGCCCTTACCTGCCTGAATAATCAGTGGGACAGAAACTGTCTTCCACCGGACTAAAGAACACGCAGGACACTTATCCCAAAACACTGCGTGGAGAACCGGTCTCTCTAGCTCTCTGCCGAATGGTTGCACTGGTTATCTAAACAGAAGTTAACGGATCTTCAAGGGTTCCAGCCGACCCCAAGCACCCACAATACAGGGAGGACATTCGATGGCTTCAGCTTGTTCTGTAACTTAAGGTCACAGTCCCGATCGCTGTGACAGGCTGGCCTGGTACCGAAGGCCAGACTGCCATACCGGCTGCAGCAGGAAACACAGCCGCTGCACGCCTGGGACAATGTGTGTGAGCAGTGGGCTTGGTGCAGATCTCCAACGGTGTCGAGGAACAGTGGCTGGCTCACCGTTGTGGACCATCTGAAAGTTGTAGGGTTCCCCGTCATAAATGTCACTCAGGTGCTTCATGGCAATTATCAAGCACAGCTCCAGGACCGAGAGACCTAAACAAACAAATCCAGAGATTTAAATCGGCGCTTTTCATTGTTTCTGTTGTTTTTTTCAAACTTCTTCTAGAAGAAATGAGCGCTAGGCCCTGCTCAACAGACATGGAGGAAGAAATATTCTGATCCTTGAGCCTTGAGCAGCTCATGCACAGAGCCACCTTCTCAGAAGTGATAGAGAACTACAACGTTTGGAGAAGCAGAAAAAAAACCCTTTTCTGTCGTGTTCAAACATTCTCTCCGCACATGTAAGTTAAATATGAAAATACCTTAACCAGGGCCGGCCCTCGGCTGAGGCAGACGGGGCGACTGCCTAGGGCCCAAGGCCACAAGGGGACCCCTCACTGCGCAACACAACATATTTCTTAATCCGCACATTCATGCGAGTCAGAGACTCCCTCCTGCGGCTCTTTCTGTCGCTGCTGTGCCAATCTAGGATCTTAAAGTTAGTTATAAATTATAATATTATGAGCAGTGAATGTAAGTGTAGTGGTTTATTTCACTGTCAATGTTAAAATACATTATATACATTAAACATTATAAAAAATGTTATCTTTGTAAAACGTGTGCTTCTTGCTCTCGTTTGTAAATTATTTATGATATGTTCTTCAACAATAAACGTTTTGTAGTTATATAATTCATTTATTTAAGTGTTCTGACAGCAAACACAGTAATGAAACAGGGGAGGGTTTGATGGGGAACTGGAGTGAGCAGAAGAGCTGTACTGCTGGAGAAAACCCACAGCCCGGTCCACTCAGGCTTCCAGGTGGCTGTTACTCTCAACTACTGCTGGACACTTACCACAGTGCAGCACGGACAGACCCCGGTGCCTATGGAGGAACTGAATGCCGGATCACATTCTTAAGCAGGAGAGAAGAGAAAACAACCGAAGCGCAGTTTTGTTCTATCGATTAGCGTAATCAACTAATAGGCGCCATTTCACATGCGAGTGCAAAGCCCACAGGGCTTTTCAGTCAGTACATGAGGCAAGTTACCATGCAGAATATTAGCTTTGGAGTCCATCGTGCAGAGGCGGCTGGCTTCTAACAGATCTGCCGGTTTGACGGCTGGGTTAGACACTGTCACTCGGCTCAGCGTCAGCACCTGAAACAGACAGCAGCCCACGAAGGCCAGGTCACACCCGGAGAGCACAGCCAGAGCACAAACAGAGGAAAAAACCTCCGCTGGCAAGGCCACGAAAAACATAAACCTGACATTCCTGATATTCACGCCCCTCTGACATCGGATAATAGTGGATCCATGATGAGCAGATCCGAAAACAGACTGAAGCCAATCCGTTAGCTGATCAAGTGCTTTTCTTCTGTTGTATAAACACAACATGTTGCATAAACACAACGTGCACAACATCTGTGGCGATCAGCATGGATGTAATAAAACTCAGTCGGGTAGAAAGGTAAAAATGCACATTTGTACATTTCAGGTATATAAGGTACATGAGACTCCCGGGAAATAGATCATCTCAATGACTGACGGGTCTTCTTCCACTCTCTCTATTCCTTGACAGACTGCAGCTGTTCCCCCTTCCTCTGGATTCCAGCCTGTCTTCCATCTCGCCGGCACCCAGCCTTCTCCTAAAGTAATCGGCTCCCTTCGCCCCTCGTGTTTCTGCTCTCTCCGTTTCCTGCTTCTCTGCCCGTCGGGCTGAGCTCTGGCAGGCGGGACGGAGGGTCTGAAGCCCAGTGACAGCAGGCCCTCGAGAGGCAAATTAACGGCTCAAACGCTAACTCTCTTACTCTGCCCAGGACCACAGTGACCATTCACAGAATACTGCAAGATGAATCCCACGACAGTGTTGAAATTTTTTACATTTCATTTCCACTTTCCACATCACTGAAAATGGGCCACATTTCAGGTTTCAGGCAGATTACCGATTCATCCTTGCTGAGGTCATTTCTGATGCTTTTCAACTCAGTCTTCCCTTCATTAGTTTGGCTCCTATTTGACTAATAGAAGTTAATTTGTACATCCTGAATGTTATATATCTGATGTACCACCTGTTACTCAAGGTGTTCCACTGGGCTACCTGCTGGGACCTTCACTATTCAGCATGTTTCCTATCTCTTGTTAAAATTGTTCCCCCATCACAGCCTTGGGCTTCACCGTTAGACTGATGACGGGTTTATTTGCAAACTAATTCAGATAGCACATCTGCGGCTTCTGCACTTTACATCTGATATAAATGTATGCAACAGAAGTTTCTTAAGATAAACTGTGATAAGCCTGAGGTTATGCTTCCTGGCTCCCAACAACAGCTGTGTAAAGCTGGTGACATCAATGTTGCTGCTGATGGTGATGAAACTAAATCCTTCACCACAACAGAAGATCAGTGAGGTTTTTAACAATCATTCAAAGATGATTTTGGGAACATCAGAAAGCTATCTCCTCCACGCGTATCGCAATGACCATTGCTTGGTTAAGTTTTTTGCTCTATCTGATCCGAAGTACCGCGAGATGCCTTTATTTAATCAAGATCAGAGTACTACAGTGTCTTACTGGAGTACCTCCTAGACACTAAATAGCACCTAATTCTGTGGCCCGTGTCCTAACACTAATAACGAAACTGCCTCAGCATACAGCACCTGTCCTTTGGAAACTGCATTGGCTCAGTGTGAAATTGAGTGGACTTCTCAGTTCTCCTGCTTACAACTTAAAAACCTTATTTCAGGTTCTTAAGGGCTTATTTATAAGTATAGTTCAAAACCTAATCTGAGATCTGCTGATTCAGGATATCTGACTCCACCTGAGAGCAAGCACTGCACTATGGGCTCCAGATTTGTCTCTCACGCAGCACCCCCACTGTGGAACTCACTGCTCAAACCCATCAGGCATTACAACATTGCACTTTTTTAAAATGTACTTAAGCACCTATCTTTTTGCTATAGCTTCTTTAGATAGTTGGACACTTGGATATACTTAGTCTATTTACCGTGGGATACCAAACTCCTGCCTTGTTTAATTTGTACTCTACTGTAGAGCGCTTTTAAAAGCACTCAGAAATAAATCTGTTTATTTCTTACTTATCACTGCAAAACTACTGCTTGTCTTGCAAATATTTGCTAATGTTATCTGTCTGTAATCTGCATTTGCCCCTGCTGGGTGGGTGCACTGCCGTAAATATGTTTCTCCACACCACAGAGCATGCAGAGCCAACTAAAGGAATTTCAGGGAGTGTATTCACAAGGCCATGTTGACATTTGTATCTTTGGGGTGTCAACTACTGTGACCAAGGTGTTAAGAGTGTTTACATGCACCTCATCACCAACATCTGCGACCTTAAATCCAGCTTTGTGCACCTCAAATATGGCCTTCACATCGTATAGTCATTTTTATCATGCAAGGTCTTTCTCCTACAAGGGCTGTTTGAATGTTTCAAAAATCTCTTACCAGCAGCCTTTGGAGGGATCGGAAATCTTTACTGGAGTGGAAGTGCTTCTGTAAGATATCTTCTACTGATCTGTCGTCACATAAAGACTGCAAGAAAAAAAAATTGCGTTGCTATGAAACACCATGTGAAAACCTGCACATTCATATCCGGGTCCAACGCAGCAAACACCCTTTTTCATCCTTTTTGGACAGACCAGACCTCCTTTCTGCTGTTTGTGCTCCACGAATGTAAAAGATAACCAAGCGTTATTACTGCACTTATCGAACACAACCAGCAATAATTTCAATCAAAGTCTCCCCCTTGAATAACAGCACAACACCTGCTTTTCCCACAAGCCTTTCCATGTTTCCAGAACATGCCAGCTGTCACCTTGATGCTCTCGTTCCACTGCTCGGCAAACCCTCCGTCGGGGAAGTCCTCCGGCAAACTCAGCTGCTGCTGGAAGATCTCCAGGTACTTCTGGAAATCGAAGGCACTGAGCAAATGAATCTGCCTGTGGGAGAATCTGGACTTCACCCTCTTCTCCAGCAGCTCCAGCACATCCTGACAACAGACACCAGACAGCATTTCCACTGTCAATGCAGGACTTCATCTGTTAGAGGATTAAAGACTTTCTATAGAAAGGCTCTAATGACATCGCTTTATAAGGCCCGTAATTTTTAAGGCACAAGTGAGAAACCATGAATCCTAAAGAAAGAGACTACCAATGAACCTCGAGTATGACCATGGCGAGGGGCAGTCTGCACTGCCCAGTGAATCCGGATCCAACTCCCTGTGCACTACTAGGCAGAAGGCACAGATGAGACGGAAGTTAATTCCACCCTGAATAGCAGAGAGAAGAGAAACCGATTTCGGCCTCTTCAGGAGCGTCGGGGGTCTTTGCAGGCTGCGCCTTGCGCAGACGAGAGTGGTCTCTTCAGCTTTAAGAGAAGTCTTCACGCGGAAACAACTCAAAGATGTGCCGTGGAGGTGGCAGGCCGGGCACTCAGCTCGGCCAAGCTCTTCAGACTAAAGAGGCCAAGTGGGTGGTCTGTTTTCATAAAAGTAAATTTGCTAGAGCTGTAACTGGGATAGAATGCGGCCAAGATATTATACTGTACACAGAAAGAAAGCAACAGAAGTCATAGCAGCGCCACACTGTTTGGTTTAATGGTCAAATTTAGCTTTGAAAACCTACAACAGAATAAATCTCTCATTACAATGAAATGCCACTTCAATAGCGTGAGTAAAGAAGGGAGAGCAAAACACTTTGTACCAAACATTCTTATATTCTCATGTTTAAGGAAGAGAATTTTAGCTTGCACGGTTTCGTTACATTGTGGTTAACTGGTACCTGTGAGAAGATTGAGATACAACCCAACAGGACCTAATCTGGTTGCTACAGCCGACTGCAGCATCTTGTAATGAGGACGATCACACTCCATACGCGTGTTGGTCATAATGAATTACAACAGGCACACCTGGCTACAAGGACACTCCAGCTTCAAAAATGCTGGCCAGCAGAGGGGAGCCCAGCAAAGCCGCGGGTCCCACTCGGTGTAAAACTCACCAGCCGACAGGTTAGACCGACCACCGCGACAGGGGCCTGCGCTGACTGGGAGATGTCGAAGAGGTTGTAGAGAAGAGTCTGGTTCTTGTGGTGAGCGAACAGGTCAAACTCATCCAGGGTGAACAGCACGGGGCGGCTGCTGCTGCGGTCTCCTGGGAGGGGAGCAGGCCAGTGTGATCCCAGCAGCCCAGGCAAGAGGCCAACAAGGAGAACAGCCGAACGGCACGCGCGCCTGCAAGAACGAGTGCCAGTCCACCGGGGCAGGCAAGGGAATGGCTGTCCTGAACACAAGCAGGCACATGTCCCGCTTCCCTTGCCATGAAGTAATCAGCACGCCTCTATATACTGCAGCTACTCGCAGGCAGTTTTAGGTGTTCCACAACAAATACTTAACGTGGCGACTGAGACGACTGACCAGTGCCACCAGCCAGCCCTGCGCTGATGCTCCCTGTAATGCAGGAGGCTGCAGGTTCAGGGTGCTCTCCCAGGCAGAAACCCATGTGAACATGGGAAGAACACACAGACAGCCCCCCAGGTCCAGAATGAACTCAGGTCCCCAGCACTGCGAGGCTGCAATGCTACACTGCTGCCCACAGGATGGATCAAGTAACTTCTAAAAACCTAAAGGAGCTAGATGAGCTGAATAGGCTTCTCTCATATGTGACCTTTCCTATGTTCTTCTATTACCTGGAAAAGCAATGCTTTGCAATGAAAATCTCCCTCTTATCCTTTTGTCACTGTAACCATACTATCATTTAGAGATGGCACAGTTAGTCCTGTATAAAGCAAAACGTTTAGATCCAGCCTGCAATAAAAAATGCTTCCAACATCATGTTCATGAATCGCTGTCAATCTCACACAATTTCTACAATGAATAATATATGCGTTTACAAAAAGATATGGGCTTAAAACGTACCTTTCTTTAAAGCTTCAAGGAGAAAGGCAAGATTTTCTGCAAAACTCCCCTGAAATATAAAAATAGATGGAGAAGCTATTTAAAGAAAAAGAAGAAATAGGCTTGGAGATACAGTACACAGATGGTCACAATCATTATTATCACTGCAGATGTGATAGCTGGGAGTTCCTGAGGTCTTCAATGGTCTATTTAAAGAGAACCGTAAAATGACTCCTTACATTTTATGTTTATGAGAAAAATAAACTTGTTTATCTTCCCATTACAGCTATTTTAAAGGGACACAAAATAAAATACATCATAGCAAAACATGACAACTGAACAGCTATTGATAAACATCCCCAACAGTCACTGGAAATGTCTAGGTATTTTATACAGTTTAAAGATCGGCCTATAAGCACTTAACATATTTGAGCATATTACCTCACAAGATGAAATAAGTCTGAAAAGACCCATGGGATACAGAAAGAAATGCCTAAAGCAATACTCCTCTGACCTAATAACTACTCATACTTATGCCGAGTCCCAGGCTGTGCTGAGAAGTTTGGACTGAGAAGTTATAGAAAACTTACAAAAACTTTGTCTCCAACCACATTCTCCAAGTGCAACTGCCTGGTGATCTCCTTAAGAGCAATTCTGTCGTCAGTCTGCAACAATCCTGTAACAGTCAGGGCTAAGTCACGTTGCAGGTGAAATCAAGGTCAATTTTTCAGTGGAGGTGAATTTTTCTGAACTGTACTTGCCATTCAGGTGAACCAGTAAAATATTCTCCATCACTTCTTTCTCCTTCTGCAATTCATTCAAGACGCAGCTCAGGAGCTGAAAATCAACAGAGCATGACAGTATCTTGATACCATCCTTTTTCCCCACATTACTTGAAGCTCTTCATTTCCTTTGTGAAGCTGATTTTTTTTTTAAACCTTGCAACAATAACAGGCTTCTCCAGAGATACATAAGTGATGTTGGAAACTTCCAATACAATTACCTGCAGTATTCTGCTCTTACATTTTGATATTTATATTTGCTTAAGTCTAGTGAGAAGATTCTAGCTTCACAGTAGAATTGTCTTTATTGTAAGGTAAGCACTGCAGTATCCTAATTCTGCAGACTCGTCTGGCTTGTAAGAGTTTACTCAGCACCACACAGGATGGTGCTTTTGAACACTAGCTGCTGCAGCTGAAGGAACAGGGTGAAAGGTTACAATACTAGGCTAAGCCTCTGACGTGAAGGTTCTCACAGAGAGGCCTTTGAAGAGATAAATGAGGATCAACACTGGTTGGTTTTTCCTTTTTTGATAAGAGGCTGGATCATCTGAGAAAAGCATAACACAGCACAGATTGGAATCATGGTACAAAGCCCAGGAAGCTATAATAAAATGTAAAGATTATTTCACCTTTAAACTAGACTTTAATTTAGTAAATCACTGTTTTTAGATATTTCTAATCCACATTTGTATTGATACCAAATCTAAATTATTTCCCCATATGTCACAGACACATTAAAACGCCACAGAAGTGATCCAGCAGCAGTAGAAGGGTCAGCTGGAAGATTTCACAAGTAAAACATAGGTGTCAGGTTCAACCTAAAGCTGAGATGTTGGGTTCCTCTCAGCAAGATGTAGCTGTTCTATTTTTAAAATTAAAATTTATAAAAAAAAGTTTAAACTCCTCCCATTAGAAACACCAAGGTACTAAGGTACCAAATTCCTAGAAGAGCATATCTATTAATATAATCCACAACAGGAAGAGGAGTAGATAGCGGTCTTGAGAATGAAGGTAGCACAGCAGACACTGCAGATAAGGTGCTATTCTAGAATCACTGGGCTGTATATCTGAAGCAATCGCTCCATCCTGTTGAAATCAATAAAATAAGCTCTCCATAATGATCTATTTAATATATATAAAGCAGAATTCAAACTAGAAGTCAGTGTGTAAAAGGGAGCATAGAGGAATTGAAAGTGCTCACTGACACGCAAGACCTGACAGAGGCTTCATAGCAATAAAGGATTAGTGTCTCTCACCCAATTGATCATCTAATCCTCCTGGCCTGCAGTCACGCACTCTTCTATAGTTTCAGTGCGAAACAGGCACCCAGGCTGTCACCTGCGGGCGTGTCCCTCTGCTGCCCCGCCCACATTACCTGCACGTCTCACTCCAGACGTCGCAGCGGACGCTTGGCAAAGAAAAGCCTTGGTGGGGACAAAGGACAAAAGCTGCAGGAGGGGTGTCTGAGAGCTGGCTCTTTACATTCGTACCATGGACTTCCCTGCTCCCCTGGGGCCCACGATCAGGACAGAGTTGCTCTCTCCATGGACAGCCGTTCGCCTCAGCAGCTCCAGCAGGTGCCTGAAACAACGCAGCCCAGTTTCAGACGCCTCCACCCGCGTCCTTCGGCTAAGAAATGACACTTTCCGCAGGAGAAAGGCGGCCAGCCTGCGGTGCAATGCAAGCCTCACCGTGGGAGCGGAAAGCACCCTGGGAGAGTCCAGAGCAATAGATAAACAAGTGCCAAACAACAGCCTGCTTTTGCAATCCATCCTCCAATTAAATCCCTTGGCTCACTTTCTAAGCAAGTGACAACTTGAAGGACCAATGTCAATTGCTACCATTAATAATCATGGCATTTTCTCCATGGGAATGAGGACACAACAACAGCACAGTTTGCAGTGGTGCTCCTCAAAATAGCTCAGACATAGACCCAATGGCTCTGATCTGCTGTTTCCCTTGCATATAACTACAAACTACATCACGGGCCGTGAAAATTCAAAATCATCAGCTATAAAAAGAGAAATTGTTTCTAGAAGGAAAAGGTAAGAAAAATACTGAGACAAAAACATCTAATATAAAGCAATTACAATTTTGTACATCTGTTTGTCCTTCACAGGTTAAAGACTTGACAACCTTACCCCGACAGACATAACTGCACTATTTATGATTAACGAGAGCAGGTAAAATTAAGTGTTATGCTACAGAACAGGCTGGCAGCAATGGTTAAACTTGGGGAATCGTATTCAGTGACCCAAGTGCTGTTTAAGCTCTTAGCGAGCTGAAGACACTCAAGCTCTTCAGGAAGCAAGGCATTTGAATACAGTCCAAGGGGAATCAAAACACTTACTCATACTGGGACTCCACTCCGAAGGGCTTGCTGGGGAGTTTCTGGTGACAGCATCTTTCCCTCAGTATTTTGTGAGCCTGAAAACGAGAAGAAAGCACGCGTTAAACTTCACAGCAACAAAGGGAGTCTTTATTGATTGGCAAACCATTCAAACAGATGAAACAGTAATAATATCGTATAAAAAATCACTTGTTCTTTTTTGAAACCACGATTCACAATGTACAAATATTTATAAGAAAGAAAAGTGAGGTGAAACTGAAAAATTCAGTAATATAGCCGACAGAAAAAAAACAGACAGATATACGGGCATACAGATACATTATCTGGCTATTAATAGCCTCTATAAAGCAGAAAAAATCAAATGTATGTATTAAAATCAAAACATATTTTATATGTTGGAATACCTGGCAGGCACAGTAACAGCAACTGAGCAAAAACATAAAGGTTATAGTTTAGCAACTAATCCTATCCAACAGATTCACATATTCTGCAAGAAGGTTTTCATCTGTCAGGCACTAAGAAAATAAGTAAACAATTCCACTAGTGTATAAAACAATCTACTGTCATGGGAAACGCATTTAATACAGAATGCAAAGTATACAATGAGTACTGAGAAACTAGCCTTCAGAAAATAAGGCAATAGAGCTAGATGCCCCTCAGGCCAAACTCAGAACAGAACACTCCGAACATCTTGAGCTGCAGCAGGTGGTAACTTCTAGAGCTCCATCGTTCTTACATTCTGATTATACAGCCTAACAACTAATCCTTGAGGATGTACTCTGACAAGATCAGACAAATTTAGCTTCTAAGAAGCAAAAAAAATACTTTAACTATGCAGAATTTCAGAAATACAAATAGTATTAAATGTACCCATTTTATCTGGTAAGATCCTCTGCGAATTTTTGATGCAGACAGCACAATCACAAGTAATACACAGACATCAGAGGATCACACTAACACAGATTTAGAACGGAGATTACACTTTGAAAAGTGCTGCGATTCGCATGGGCTTTTTCGAGTCAATTATCATTGTTAACAAAGAGGAACAGTGTGAATCTGCAATAATCACAGCAGAAACTAAGAATAAGAAAATAGATGAAGGGAAGTTAGTGTATCTGATGTAAGTCAAATTTCAACATTTTACTTGCAAGAACTTCTTTCAGATGCAAAGCTAGCATGACCTAAATACTGATCGCAGATAAGCGATCCTGCAGATAGAACTAATCTATGCAACACATGGTTTCACTTCATTCTTATCTTTCTGATCTACACAATCCCAATGTTTTGCGGGAGTCCAGATGTGTCAGACTAATCCTTAAATAATGTGGTGCCTACTCAAGAGGCTGCTTTATTTTTCTCACTTAACTGTTCTCTGGCTCGAACTCACCATACATTCAGATGAAGTCCCAGCAAAAACCTGTCCACCTATTTAAAATGGAAGAAACTGGTACCAACGGTAATGATCATCAATAAAAAATACAAACCTGAGAAATACATTCTCCCAGTGTTAAAGTGCTCTCTTTCGACTTTCTTTTACTCATGATGTCATAACCTTGGTGGCCTAAAGAAGGAAAACGACATTAGAGGTCAGCAGGCAGGCAAAGTCCCTTCTGCAGGATAAACAGTGCAAATGGATACAGGCAAACTGACACCTCCATCAGCAAAATGAGCACAGTGGTAAAACCTGCCTCCTCCAGAAAGTCAGGATTTCATCACGATGAGTACATTACATTCAGATGAATTACCAGGCTCTCACCTTGTCGACGACAAATATTTGTCTAGAACGAAAACTATATTGACTGACTTTTCAGATTTTAGATACAAAACAAAAGACGGTTATTGCTTGCTTATTGTTAACCCGATTCTTGAACTGGACTCTATGGAAACGTTATGAGCTGAAGAAGCTATCTTTGAGAGCCTAATCGAATACGTCGGCATGTCTGAAACGTGACTGCGCGTCTTTATCTTGAATTGTAATTACCAGCCCTTCGGTGCTGTGCTCCGACTTGCCAGTTGAAAAGTTGCACGAACCTGACTGCGCCAGACTTGCCTTCGCCTTCAATTATGCTTAACTAGGCATGACGTTACACTCTTGCCAGAACTGTTAAGAGGGCTGAAAATGTTTTAAACCTGGCAAACAGGGAAAACCCGTCTGGGTTGCAAAATACATGCAGGGTTTATTTCACATGCGCTACAATTCATTGGGAAGAACACAACCACCACACGGATACTGTGCTGTACGCAATGTTACCTTACAGTCTCCTCACTACAGCACCTCAACGGCAGGAGCCTGAGCGTGCTTTCATAGATGCTGCATAGCTCCCTCATCTAAAACGCATCCCGGACTCATTTCACAGGGAAAGGAAAGGCGGTGAACCTGAGAAACCGTGGATATATATATAATTTTTTTACCTGTGACTTCTCGCTCAGTCCCTAAATCCCGACCATCCCTGCTCTTCCCGCAGTCACCCACCACCAGCACCTGCGATCACCTCTGAACTCTCAACCCGGCGCGTGACGTCAGCGGCGCCCTTCCGGCAGGCTCGCCCGTCGCTTCCGCTGGGTTTTACCGTGCATGCCGGGACACCCCTCTCCTCCGGGCCCCAAGCTGCGGCGCAGGCGCGCTGAAGAGCTCCATCTTTCTATCCCAACAAGCCCAGAGAGAGAGCCAGCAGCAGCAGTTGATGGGGAAGCTTTTTATTTTTATTTTTAAAGGGACAGAACCTCATTTTAACCAGCTCAAACCTTCCGTTTCGCCGCCCTTAGCCTCCCAGGAACTCAACGGGGGCAGGAAAAATGGAGGAAAAGGGTCTTAGGCCTTTATATTAAGGAGAACAATCCAGAAAGCCCTTTTCTCTGTCTCTTGCTTCTTCTTAGCAACACAACCCTCTCCTCTCCCTGTGTCTGTGCTTTGGCCCTGGCTGGAGACATTTCTGAGCAGAGACCTCTCAGTTCACACAGAGAATAAAAACTTCGCTATTTCTCGGTCACTCTGCCTGTAATTTCAATTTCTCTGGCGATGGAAGATAATCAGAGGTAGGTGCGCGTTTTTAATTCCTGGATATATTTTTTTGAAAAATGTTAAATTTCAGCTCCTGTTTGCCCTGAGTGTCTGAAAATGCATTTTATTTATGTGTTCTGGTGTTGGGGCTGTCTGTTCTGCAGAATATTGCTGTGAAGACTACACGCAGCCACAGATTATATTTAAATATTTTTTTCTTAAATGGTATTTTTTTTCCTTTGAACAGTCAAGGTGCATTTTGTTGAAGTTGGCAGGGGATGTGGACGCCTCCTTGAGATTTGGATTTTATCAAGCAAATTAAAATATCACGAAAAGCGGTAGATCGGTGTTCCCGTTACAATGTACCGAAGCCCTGCGTGATTAAATAACCTGGCTCAGGCCGACCGGGGCTTCGGGAGATCTCCTGGAAGCTTTCATCGGCCATATAAAAAGTTTAATTGTGAAGATAATGAAATTTAGCCCGGTTAAATGGTTTGTGTACATCCGAGTGGCCCCATACAGCACTGTTTCGCAGTTAGGTTGTCTACTTCTGAGTCATTGGATGCCATACCACCGGTTGTAAACGGGCACAGCTAATTCTGGATTAAAACCAGCCTGAGCCCTAGTCTCCTGACCGACACCTCGGCTGCCTGTATCTCAGGTATTTTTCAGCTGCTGCTCATTAAAACCTCTCATTAGCTGTCCACGGCGTTGTTTCTCCTTTTCATAGTTTCCAAATGCAAATATTGATGTTGTAAACGGCTGTCCTCTGCCGCCGCTCCAGCAGGACTTCACAGTGAAGGCGAGTTCCATGATGTGGATCAAGATGTTGCTGTTTTTTCTATGACATGACTTTTCTAGAGTTATTCTTGGCAGACTGTTTTTTTTTTATAATCCCTTCATGCAAGGTGCATGTGATGGATAAGCCATGTTAAATTGTGTGATTTGTGAGTTAGGCATGGCTCCTGTATGGTTTCTTATGCCCGGGTTGGTGAAAAAGAATTCCAAAGGAAAAATCGAAGCAAGTGGTTTAAATGTGAATGCAAATCGTACTACAAGAAGCTGTCTCATTCAGAAAATGAAGAGGTGTACCAACAACCCAATCAATAGCCTAGATATTTCTCTTCAGAACTTATTGATATAGTGTTGGCTTTTCCTATAAGAAGAGAAAGTTGGGTGATCTCACACCTACCGTCTGAAATTCAGCTAATGCTGTACCGAATACTGAACAGCGAAGGATCATTGACTATAATGAAAATGTGTGTGAGAGAGCAATTGTTTTACAGGTGTGTGCTCTCTGGGGGTAGACCTATATAAGACCATTCCCATAGACGCCATGTCCTTTAACATAATCAAACATTGTTCACCATTTATGTTATTGTTATTAATGATATTCACTTGCTTCGACAGCAGAACTATTAAAAACATAAAACATGACCTATTACGGCAGAGCAGCTGGGTACAATCATGGAGGTTAAGTTACAGCATCAATGCTTGGGCACACGTGAAATGTACTTCTGTGGAATTTCCCTCAGGAAAGTGGTAAACAGCTGTACAGGACGTTCGCATGTTTGTAAGTGTTTTGTATTCATTACTGCCTGCTTTTTCTTATATTAGTAGGTTGTTCAGTTTAGATGGCCATTTTCCTAATCCTGGAGATAAATAATGAATATTAAATATGTACTCGACTTTTATTTTTGACATCTGTTTTTCTGGAATCTCTTAGGTAGGTGGGTTTAAACTGTATCCATAGATTTTGGTCCTCTGGGCGCCTGTCGAGCTATAGTTGACAAAAACCTCAGTTTTTTCCCTTTCTGTATTTTTTTCATATATTTCGTGCCAATCATATGGAAAGCATCTGAAAGCAAGGGACTGCCTTGCAATCAGTGTGATTCTTGGCTTAGCCTCACCTGGCCTTGTCAGTTAATAGACAGGGAAACACTGAAGTGCATCTGTACATGTGAGCCAAGCCATAGGCTGCAGTCAGTGTGTTCATAACTTGGATCACCGTACTGTCTCGCCATACGTATGATGCTGTGTACAGCTAGTGCACCCTGATGCTGAAGAAACGCGAGGGCTAGGTGCGGCGATGAGGATGCCTCTGTCCGAGGACAGGATGAGTCCTGCATGTTGGACAGGGGGTTCGTCATCTTTGTAAGGAAGCGGCGCTTGTCCCCAGAATCGGTTTCCACAATGAAAGGCATTTTGTGCCTCTTCTGCTTTATCGCTGTAGAAGGTCAAGGCCGCACCCAGTAATTATTTTCTTTAACATCTTCCCGCAGAGGTGCGTGGAGCTGGGTGTCTCCCAGCTGTTTTTGTGTATTTTTGCAGTGACTGTGGGCCTTGCCTTGTGTGATGAAGAGCAGCCGAGATACACTACTGTCTGTGTGGCATAGAATCAGCTGCTCAGGTTTCCTCCTGTGATTCATCTTCCGGATTTAAGATCCTCTGCACCCACATATTTCACATTTTGATCAACCTTTATTGAGAGCGGGGATTAGAGTCTGCGTTAGGTTTATATTCAAAGGGCTATTTTTCTTCTTTTCTTTTAGCCTGGACTGTAAAATTTCCACACTCCCAGTGCAGCTGTTAAGGCAGATGCCGTCCTTGCTGGCTTGTAGCGCCATGTACTGCTGCTGGTAGATCAGCAGCATTTATTGGGGTGTCATTTACAGCCCTCTGTCACAGTCATACACAGTGTTCCACTTAGATTTCATATTGGGGCGCTTTACGACAGCTCAGCGCATTCCGTTTTTTCTCTGACTGAACCCGTTGGCAGTGGTGGTTGCCATTGAGTTCTCTTGGTACTATGGGAAGCTGACTTTAATTTCATCCTTTTGTGGAATTTGAAATTAATGATTTTGTATGATATGTCTGATTATAATTCTATGTAATAGAAAGCAAGACTGTTTTAAGAAATTGGAAGTAGCCAGATTTGTCAGAAAACCTACAGGGTAATCTGTGTATTTATCTGTGTATCATGGCAAAATTCACTCAGAATTGTATTCACATGTTGTTGTGATATTGTGACAATTTTAGCTTATTTTAAGATGGTTCACAGCGGTAAAAAATAAAAACACTGGTTTCAAAATATTCAGCAGACCTAAACAGATTTTGATCCAGCATCCGTTTCTGTATGGTAGCTTTTGTTTGATGTGCTTATTGTCAAGGTATATTCCTTCCTTTTTTTTAAATTGCAGTAATTAAATTGTGTGTTTCAAATACTTTCAAAGTTAAATTCCTGGGGAAGGACAAGTATGGATCTTTATGTACATCTACCATTCATTCCTAATGTGAAGAATTGGGAAGAGAAGATCGGCGTCCCACTGTTTGAAGTCCTTGGAAAGAGCTTTTTGAGCTGCACGGCCGATAAAAGCTTCTCGGAGCCCAGGTCCTGCAGGTGTGAATCTATTAGCCGACTGTGACCAGAACTTGTGGCTCGGGTTCTGCAGGGGAGGCCAGTAGGTTTGAAGTCAATGAGCTGAGTGGACGACAGTGACCCCTTTGGCTGGCGGGGGGCAGGCGGGCCTACAGGGCCTCGTAATCTCCACCTGAGACCTTAGCTGTGCCGTTCGTGCTGTAAGGCTCCTGGTACTCGCTGGTCTCAGGACGTGCACACGTGATGTTTCTACCTTTCCTATCCCAGTACACGGCTTGTGCCAGTGAGCAAATTCAATTAACCAATGGTAGTATATAAAAGCTTTAAGAACATAAGAAAGGTTACAAATGAGAGGAGGCCATATGCCGCATCCAGCCCATTTGATAGTAGATGATTGATCCGAGGAAGGAAGCCAAGGTATTCGTTTCAGTATTAGCTTGGTAGGTTTCTCTGTGCAGATTCATATCGTACCTTACATATTTTTAGTTTAATTTAATATATATAAAGTTATGTTAATCATAACTTACATCAGTATTTTTGCCAGGTGGTAGAACCACTGAGTGTTTTAGTGCACAAGAGTAGGTTATGGCACAAAAAAAAGCTTCAGAAAGTGAAGTGAAAGTGTTAAATGTTGGAGTTAGTATCATCTCTGTTCGAGTACAGAAAGCGTACATGAGAATTTGTCGTGTCTTATCTGATTTTAAAAACTGGATGAAATGAAAAATACCTTTATATTTTAAACGAATTTACATTGCAGTGAACATAATGCAGTAGAATTAATGACACTGCAAGAACTACTTTACAACATAATAGCACAAGACAAAAATAATACGTATAACTCAAGCCAAAACCCACACAGTATTTCAGTTTAAAATTTCAGCACCAATAGCAAACAGGGCAGGAAAGTGCTAATCAACCCTAAGTCCTACAGCCGAGATGATCCATCGTAGCCTTATATAATTGCACTTGTCCGATCCAGAGGCAGGACTGGCACTGCTGCCACATGGCACTGGTACGGTACCAGCTCATTTCCCTCCTGAACGTTGGAGCTCAGCGCTGGATGGCCAGCGGCTGTTGTCACTGAGCTAGTCCCGTTTCAGAGCTGCAGGCAGGGCTGAAACAAATTTAAAACTGCAATCCAATGAACAAATGCAACGACAACAACAATAAAACACACACAGGAATCACCTGCGGTTTCCAGTCTTCTATGCGAGTGAGCGGTATTTGTGAGGGATGGAAAACAGTGTTGCAGTATTTCCTGAGCTCTGAAAGCAATTGGAAAGGGGTCACCAGTGTGCTACTATTAGCAGTACTATGCTAAATGAGCATGTTGCTTCACATGGCAGATATGTGATACTTGTATGTTCAGAGTTGCAGAGCTGAATAGTCGCAGTTTTCACAACTGGGATCTCATTCCTACACTTTGTTGAGCAGGTGCCCTATTAAGGCCAAGAGAAAACAACTTTAATCCTATAGAGGTCAATAGTTTCCCTGCATCTACCTGTTAGTTCTCCCATGTGAGGATCTACTTTACTCGGTGACATTGCGTGACACTCCTCTTCCTCGGGCCAGTTAACGTGACGGTTTTAATCATGACATGTTTGATTTGACAGTTGCAAAACAAGAATGAAAAAACAGGGAAAAACAGCTTAAAAT